AATTTAGTGTTCAATTTCTTGGGATTGTTAAGTGGTGAATGAATTTCCAGTTATTTGGGGAAGATGAGAGAACACAGTAAACATTTTACATTTTAAAAAATATGATGGATTTGATTATATATATGTATCTCTTATTGATCTGTGACTGGTTATTTTAGTTATGAGTTCCTTTCTGACCTATATCAGTAGAGTTTGCCTGCCTTCCAGAATGGTGCTAGCCATGAGGGGGACTTTGTAATGTGATTGAGTAAGTAGAAGTATATCACCTTGCTTTTAAGAACAGCTTAGTGGATAATTTACTGAATGTATGTTTTTATCCTTGACTATGGAGAACATTATTAATTTAAATTAATATATTTCCAAAATAGCCTTAGCCATGGTTATCTCTCAAAAGTTCTAGAGTTGGACTTATTAATGTCCTTGAAATAGCCTGCAAAATTTTATATGTATGGTACATTTTTCTATGAAGAATGCCCCATGGTTTTTGTTAGTTTTTAAAAGGGGTACCTGACTGAAAATAAAGATTTAAGAACCACTGCTTTAATGGGGTGGTATTCAAATCCATACTAGACTTTCACTTAAATAATTACATTTTTGAAATGCTACATCACAAGTTTGATGTTCTATAGAAAAGTCACAAAAAGAAAAGTATTATGATATTTATTGTATCCCTAGAAATATTACAGGATCACATTGCAATTTTTGTGTGTGCTTAGAACCTTTTATGCCATTGTATGACCCACCTACTTTTTTAAAAGCCAAAATTTCCATATTTCAGTGCACTAAATATGTTAAGTGGGACAAGAAATTTTTTACGTGCAAAATGGTTGGAAGATACTAAGATGAACTATAACAGGAAGTTGGAATTAGTGTTGTAAAGACTGGATTGAGACATTTTCATGCTCTATGGTTTTTTTTCCCTCCTTTTGACAGAGGCCAGAATCCCCCATGCCACTTTTCCTTGTTTTAATCTGTCAGGATGTCTCCTTGTTCCTAGCACACATGCATGCACATAACCACACCTCATCATCGTCATCATCATCATGCTCTTAAGTATCCTCCTTCCTTATCTCCTCACTCACCTCTCACTACCCTTTGGCTGTAACTTCAGGAACTGCTTTTTCATGCAAAGCCAATCCTTCTGTAATTCTCAATCTATTTTCCTAGTGTTTTTTTCTACTCCTTGCTTTACTTCATTTATAGCCTCTTAAACCTCAGGCTCTGGAAGGTAACTTTGTTCTCTTTCCTTCCTTTCCATCATTATTCTGTTATCATCTTCCCCCCTTGATTTCTGTTCTTTTGAAGTTACTGTCTTTAGCTGAGCCAGCCTTCTGTCAGTCCTTACTGCTGTCATCTAGTGAACAGCCTCACGGTCACTTCTCCTTACTCATGGGAGACTTTGGCAGCTGGCTTACTCTTTTCTTCTCTCCCTAAGCTCTTCATGATCACCGCTCATGACCCATCTGTACCACCAAGTCCAACACTGGATTTTCAGTTCTTTGACTATCTTATTTCCAGTGAGCTTCACCTCTCATCAGAAATTTACTAAGATTTCTTCTCCTTCTTTACTTACAGACCCCTCTGCTTTCTCCTAGTGCATCAGGACTCTTCCTTTGTCATTTTATTTATTTTTTAAAAATCAGCTTAGATTTCATTATTTGCAATTTCAGTGCCATATAATTTCTTCTTATACCTGTTGGATAGATCCTTAACTCTTAATGAAGCAGTTAGTGTCTTCTCTGTGCCTTTTTCATTAATGGCTGAACATTGCTAGAGAAAGTCACACAAAGGCAGATAGATTCCACCATAAATTCATTATCACAAATCTTAAATGGGCCCTCAATACTATCCAACAGTTCCTTTTATTTTTTAAGTGTTCAGCTTACTCTGTTTTTGCACAGCAGTTATTGAAAACCTTATTCACTTTGCAAATCTTTTTACTTTCCTTGGGTGGTCCCAGAGCATAATTAGGTGCTGTATTACGGAGAAAATAGAAATCATCCATTAGGAATTTTCATTTTCCAGTTCCTAAACATGCAAAGCTGCCTTCTGTTGAAATAAAATAGCGTTTCTCCTGTCTCAGCTCAGTTTCTACCTGTACTTTGGATTTCATCTCATTCTACCTTCTTAGAAATTCTAAAGTATTGATGATCTCTTCGTAATTTATTCAACTAAACCTTCTCCATTTAATCTTTCCTGTCAGCTTGATCCCATTTCCCCTTTCTATTGCTCTTCTGCCATATTATTCCCTTTTCAGACAAACTTTTTAAGAGAATCATTTTCATACATATGCAATCCCTATCTAAAGTTCTTGGGACCTGATTTGATTTAGAATTTGGAATATTTTGGATTAGGAAAACGTTAGCATGTACATACCATCTGTAGTATAATAGCCCCAGTGAATTGTGGAGCAGTTCCCTGTAATCAGACACATTGCCATTTCTGTCCTGAAGTGTGTGGCTGTCACTTTCAATAGGATCAATAAGTGCTATCAATAAATAGCTTCATATCAGTCCATGTTAGATTTTGCTTCCAAATGAGTTATTAAAATAATAAAACCCAAAACTTTAATATTTCAATGCTTTTGGATTTTGAAATTACAGATGAGAAGTAGTGAACATGCCTTCATTTTTCACCTTATATTTTTTAACCTAGTTTGGCTTTTACTTTCTCACTTTTTTCAAATGACTCTTGCTAACTCTACCAATGACTTTTATCTAAAGTGATCATGTCACCAGTGAATGTTTTCAGTCTTCATTCGGTTGACTGGCCCAGAGCCCCAGATCCTGGTGATGCCAACTCCATCAAACACTCTCTTCCCTTAGCTTCCTTGGCACCACCCTCCCTGGCTCTCCTTCACCTTTTTGTAGGTGTATTTTCTGTTATCTTGGCATTAAATGCTAGAGTTCTTCCAAGGCCTCTTAGGACCACTTCTCTTCTTGCTCTGTGCTCTCTCTCTTGGTGGTCTCGCCTGTATCTATGTCTTCAATTACCAATTATGTGTTGATGCAGCTCAGACCTCTCCTTTGAGGTCAACCAACATGTTCAATTGCCTATTTAACGTTCATTGTCATTTGGAACTCTCAAATATTAGGTCCAAATTCCTAATATGTCTCAATTTCAAAATTTTCCCTAAACTGTTTGTTTTCAGATGTCCCTTTACTTCATCCTCCTCTCCCTTTCCCCTTCCCCTCTCTTTTGTTTACCTCATTTTGGTAACTTCTGCCTCTGTTAGAGCAAGCATTAGGATCTTTGGTATGACCTAAAGGTCCTGCACTCTCTGGCCCTGCCCATCTCTCCAGCTTCATGTAGCTCCCTTCTGCTCTTAATCCCTCTGAGGAACTGTGCTTCCTCCTACAGAAGCGCCATTATACAAGCCTCTCTTTCTGCTTGGAATGCTCTTTCTTTCTGTGCTAGTTATTATAATTTATATTCATTTTCCCCATCATAGCTTCAATTCTCACTTTCCCAGAGAAGCTCTCTAAGTCATGTGCCCTATCATCAAATCTTATGGCACCATATATGGATTCTTTATAACACTAATAACGATTTTAATTGTACTCTTTTTTTTTAACCATTTAGTATGTTTTCCCCACTAGAATGTAATCTCTCTTAGAGCAAGTGTTACGTCTGCTCTTCACCATCGCATTTCCAGCATAGTGCCTGGTGTATATAGGCAAATAGCAAACATTTTGAATGAATTTTATACATTAACTTATCTTTTCTTATATTGTTAGTGGTTTCTGTATATGTATTTACCAATGTAGCACATGCAGTTTCTATAGTTTTATGTGGATCCAATCCTGATGGTATTTTTTCTGAAAATTATAAAGACACATTTTCAAAAGTTCAATGAATTATGTAGGGATCAAATGCAAAAAAAAGTCTTTCTTTGATCTAGCTCATAATTTGTTCTCCTCCATTCCTCTATTTTTAATTTTATTTATTTGTTTGTTTATTTATGTATTTATTTATGGAGACAGAGTCTCACTCTGTTGCCTAGGCTGGAGTGCAGTGGTGCAATCTTGGCTCACTGCAACCTCCGCCTCCTGGATTCAAGCGATTCTCCTGCCTCAACCTTCTGAGTAGCTGGGATTATAGGCATGTACCACCGTGCCCAGCTAATTTTTGTAATTTTAGTAGAGACGGGTTTCACCATTTTGGTCAGGCTAGTCTCGAACTCCTAACCTCGTGATCTGCCCACCTTGGCTCCCAAAGTTCTGGGATTACAGGCATGAGCCTGTAAAAATGCCCAGCCTTTTTTCTTGTTTTTGAGACGGAGCCTTGCTTTGTCACCCAGGCTGGAGTGCAGTGGCATTATCATAGCTCACTACAACCTTAAACTCCTAGGCTCAACTCATCATCCCACCTTAGCCTCTCGAGTAGCTGGGACTACAGGCACGTGCCACCATGCCTGACTAATTCCCCCATGTTCTTAATTCAGTTTTCTACATTAACCTCTTTCCCCAGATTCTTTATAGATACCAGTATTTTAGTAAGTCTAGTGTTGTGTGCAAGTAAAATATAAACTATATTCCAGCACAATTCAGTGGACTCTCAACTTGTTCATCAGTTCGTAAATCTCACAGGATTAAAAATAGTTTAGCCATCTGCTAACTGACCAAACAATTTTAGTATTGTGAAAGGGTGTGGTAGGAAAGGGAGGTATAGGGTCTAGGTATAATGTCAGAACAAGGCTCAGTGCAGAAACTACCTTGTGACCTCTTAATACTGAAACTTAACAGTCAGTTCAAAATTAGGAAGAGATTTGGTGGAGGTTAAGCATAGGAGAGTCCTGACAATAGGGGATTTCCTAGATTAAAGTGACAGATTTTCTTTCAGCATTAATATCTTACTAAATTTTTTAGAGACAAGATTATGTGTTTATAAAGGCATTTATTCTGTGAAAGTTATAATCCATAATTTAGAATAATACGTAATAGATTTCTGTATATTACTAAATAAATTAATTGGCCTTTTATATTTTACTCCTTAATTAGGAAAACCAGTAGATTCCCAGACATCGCGAAGTGAATCTGAAATTGTGCCAAAAGTTGCTAAAATGACTGTATCTGGAAAGAAGCAAACTATGGGATTTGAAGTGCCTGGGTAAGACTTTGAGTACCCCCCTCATCCCCACTCCCACCCCCACGTTTTTGAAATCAGTATTGCCTCCTATTAGTCTGTAAGAAAGAGACTGTTTCAATTTTGCATCATATATCATTAGCATTGAAGTATCATATATCCTCAGCGCAACATAGTACAAAGAGACAAAATGAGAAATTAGGCTTGATTCTGGCCTTATGTTGTGTGTATTACTTACTCTACCTCACTGTCAGTTTTCTCACATAAATATTTTATAGCTACTTTAACGTAAAAAAACCTATGATTTTGTGAAACCTAGCACTGTGAGATAGGGAATTCTTATACCACTAGGTGGCAGAGATAACCAGATTTCGGAGTGAGTCCCGAATCATGGAATCGTTAATTAAATTTTTTAATAACTGAAATATTTTTAAACTCTTTTGGATTTTTGTATTGAATAAATTGGACCATTGTAGCAAAGACATACGATATGAAACATACCTAGAATTTGAAACAAGTAGTGAAAAATGGAAATAAAGCATACCTTGGTAGCACTTGTTTGTTCTTATCACAGTCTCTAGAATCCTTCCAGGAGTTTTTATAGACAAGGGAAGTGAGTTGCTTTGAAGCCATTAATTTTTAAAGTAAAATTTTTCAGAATTTTCAATTATTCAATAAATCTTTTACTTATAAATTGTATGTATTTTTTCTGTCAAAATGATAAAGAAGCATTGTTATCAAATATAAACAATAGGTTTTTAACTGTAAACAACAGATTTTTATATACAGACTTTTTTTCCTTTTTTTCTCCCTTTTCCCAAGTTATATTTTTAAAAAAATATAAACTCAGGAGCCTTATTTTTTTTTTCCTTACACTATTCTTTTGTCTAAATTAGTGAGGTATCATGAGTTTTGGTTGGGAAGAATGTTAATTATCACCTAGTTCAATTTTTGGGTTTTATAGAAACAAGACTTTATTCACTAGATTTCAAAGTCAGTGAAGGAAAGGACTCCTTATCTAGGACATAGTAGGCATTCAGTATACATTAATTGAATGATTGGATGAATGAAAAAGTTAATTTCTATCATGAGTAACTTTAGCCTGTTAAAATAATTTAGAATTCTGATTTGGTCTCAAAAAGCTTCATGTATGCCGTTTTTCCTTCTGAACTGGGATTGGGTTGTCAGAATTATAATCGCCCCTTTTGTCCTTATTCTTGAGTGCCATTTAATTCTATTATGGGATTTTTCCATTAGAAAGAGAGAGAGAGGAAATAAATAGAATATACAATTTATTGTTCTAAGGATTTTATAATCTTAGTTCAAAAGATTTTTCAGAAGTCTTAGCAACATGCAAATAAACCCAAAATAATGTATTATATTAGAGGTAAATGCATAGGTATCTAAATGAATAATTATAACGATAATGGGTAATAAATGTGTCAATAAATGTGCGTAATTTTTAAAGCTCTGTAAGTACAATGCAGGCCTTTCAGAATTTTATGACTGTATTCTTCATGAGGCCAGGGGGCCAGGGACTGTTAATGTTCATCACTGTATTCCTTTTACAGAATAGTTATTAAATATGTGTTGCTCAGAATCCTTGGGGAAATACATATTATTTTAAAAATAAACTTACAAATAATATAAAGGTAAAAAATCCACCCACGAGGCAACATTTTGATGTGATTCTATGGGAGAAGTTGTTAGAATATGAAAGGCCTGTAGTTATAGATTGAAATACTCAGAAATGCTCAAGGCCAACCAAGTTGTACTATTATAGGAGTTTTTTGAGATTTATAATAGGGATAACACTTAACCTGTTCTGGGTTAGTCTTAAGAAAGCATATAGAAACACAATGAAACACTTTTGAGTCAAGATTTCAGCATCATAGATTTCTATATAGTGTGATTCTCAATGATGTCTTATTTGAAAAAGGATATGGCTGGGTGTAGTGGCTCATGCCTGTGATACCAACACATTGGAAGGCTGAGGCGGGAGGATTGCTTGAACCCAGGAGTTTGAGGGAGCTATGATCCTGCCATTGCATTCCAGCCTGGTCAACAGAGTGAGATCCTGTCTCTATTTGGAAGAAGAAAAAAAAAGGATAATGCATAATGTATTGCTTGGAAGGAACTGAAACAGCAAACTTTCTTTTTCTTTAATAACATTAAAAATAGTAGATGCAAGGAAATGCATGTAAGTAGAAATGGAACATTGCATATAGAAGAAATATTCTTCTTTTAAACTCTTAAATCTCAATTATTAGCTTCAAGTATTTAACTCAAGAAGAAAGATTAAACCTCTAGATTCATCTATAGTTTACTTTTAGAAAGGTAGTTTAGAGAAAAAAAAAGACTAGTCATTTTATAATATTAGATAAGTGTACAGGGTGGGCATTGTGGCTCAGGACTGTAATTCCAGCATTTTGGGAGGCTGAGCTGGGAGCATCACTTGAGCCTAAGAGTTCAAGACCAGCTTTGGCAATATATTGAGATCTCCTATCTCTACCAAAAAAAAAAAAAAAAAAAAATAGCTGGGTATGGTGGTGCATGCCTGTGGTCCAGCTACTTAAGAGGCTGAGGTAGGATCACTTGAACCTGGGAGGCCAAGACTGCAGTGAGCCAAGATTGTGCCACTGCACTCCAGCCTGGGCAACAGAGTGAGAGCGAGAACATCTCGATAAAAAGAAGGAAAGAAAAAAAAAAAGTTTACAAAATGATACCAGAAAGCAACTGAAAAAAATTCAACCAACTTATTCTTTCATTCATACCAATCAGTAATTAATTATAGGCCTGAAATCCAAGTGGTCATTTTTAGACCTTATCTTAGATATTTTTCAAAACTTAAAACATTGACTTTTATTTCGTAATATGCAGAAGTTTTTTTGACTAAGGGCAGACTTACCTAGGATACTTTTCTAATTACTTTGGTCACTTCCCACCAACACTGTAAAATTTTAGTGAATTAATTTACAGTTTACCTAAGATTTACTTAAAAGGGGCCGGGTACAGTGACTCACGCCTGTAATCCCAGCACTTTGGGAGGCCGAGGCAGGTAGATTACTTGGGGTCAGGAGTTAGAGACCAGCCTGGCTAACATGGTGAAACCCTGTCTCTACTAAAAATACAAAAATTAGCCGGGTGTGGTGGCCAGTGCCTGTAATCCCAGCTACTCAGGAGGCTGAGGCAGGAGAATCGCTGGAACCTGGGAGGCAAATGTTGCAGTGAGCTGAGATCGCACCGTTGCACTCCAGCCTGGGTGACAGAGCGAGATTTCATCTCAAAAAAAAAAAGATTTACTTAAATGGAAATGCTATCCTGAAAGCGTGAGCTTCAAGCCCCGGCCCACTCTGTCCACCATAGCTGTCTGCTTTGATCTGTTTTCCATATTGAATTTAGTGTAAGCTTGCCTCTGAAGAAAATGTTTTGCAGCTAAAAGCAAAAAGATATGGGGCCCGAGATTGTGATTTCTCCCAGGTCTGATCCAAACCAGAGCCTGTGTCTAGTCACAGTAGATCACTTGTGTTATAGTTTGTAGGGCTTTTTACATTCTTCTAAATACAAAGTTACCATGTTTTGCTTTTAGAACTAGCTGTGGTCATTCAAACAAATATTTGCAAATTAGAGTCTGATTTCACTTAATTTAGCCTGTTAGAATCATTTAAAACTATGGAACATTTTCCACATACTACTGTTTTTACCTACTAGTTTAAGATGAAGTGCATCTGCATCTGTCTAAGTAGTGCTCAAAAATGAATACCTAAATTGGTTAGTAGAGATTTGAAAAAGCAAAATAAAATGAGAAAGGGTATGTGGCTTTTAATGAAGTTGCAAATATAACTAATGTGACTCTTTTCCTGAGGCATATTGTGAAGGACTAATATTGGGCATATAAAAATGCCCTGACAGGGAAAAATAATAGGCAAGAAGAAAATAGATGTGCTTATACATATCCATCATGCTACAATCTTAAGTGATTATTATAAACTGCTTTCTGTATGTAGTTTTTCTCTGTCAGCTCCACATTGAGTTGGATGTAATTGACTTCATTCTTAATAACTTCCAATTTAACCTGCTCTTTGTCCTAATTCTGTTTATCCATAGTTGTTAAAGGAAAGTGAGGCATATCATAGTCTGATTATTAAGTCACATTCCTTATAGCTGTTCACAGAGTAGCACTGGTACTAGATTCTATGTGGAGTGTCAACAAGCTCATGAAGAACTAAGATCAATGTTTACTTTTGTCAACGGAAGAATAAGTTAAGCTGGGCAGCCTTGTTTCTCCTTTATATATCTGAGTTCCTCACCAGATTGTAATCTTTTGGGAGTGGTAGTTGACTTTTTAATTTCTATGTCATTTTCTTTTTGACATCAGTCCCTAGTATATGTTGTAGTTTTTAGTAAATCAAGTGTTTGTTGAATTAATGAATTAAAGCTCCACTGTCAAAAATGTTTATGAACTGTAGTCATTTAGAGATATCTCCCCTAAGGGTAGTGTTTGAGTAAAAAAGATCATAAGTCTATCATGTTGGAAGGATGAGTTGAAGTAAAACTGTATTTTAGTACTAATTCATCTCCAGTAATATATTTGATGCCATTTTGACAAAATATCTCCTTTATAACATTGATTTTGATAGGATGGATTATATGGCCAAGGCTGTGGGCTTAGATTTTGAATTTCAGTTATTTTTCAACATATTTTCTTCTTATCTTCATTTTTGGTACACTGTTTTTCTCATTGGGTCTTCCATGTCTGTATTTTTGTGGTTTGAATCTAGCTACTTATCATTTCCACTTTAACAGACTTTAGCTACTTAGCAGAGATTATTTTTGGTCTGCAGCATAAAGGATTATGAAGAAACAGCTTCTCTGCCCTTCTGACATTATAGGACATCAATAGAGTTGGTTTAAAATACTTTTTTCCTATCTGCCTTCTATAGAGTATCTTCTGAAGAAAATGGTCATAGTTTCCACACACCTCAAAAAGAACGGCCCATTGAAGATGCCATTGCTTCTTCTGATGTTCTTGAGACTGCTTCTAAATCTGCTAATCCACCCCTGACGGTTCAAGCATCAGAAGAGCAGAGTTCAACCCCAGCACCGGTGAAAAAGTCTGGCAGGCTGAGGCAGCAATTAGATGTGAAGGCGGAACTGGAGAAGCGGCAAGGAGGGAAGCAGCTCCTCAACTTGGTGGTCATTGGTAATGCTCTTTGTCCCTCTGGATCATCAGCTAGCCATGCCTTAGCCTGCCCACTGTCTGGTGGCAGCATGGAAACTCTGAGTTTCTCCATGGGTGGAATGGACAGAGAGCGAGGAGGCACAGGGCCTCATAATGCTTTCTAGTCACCTGGGGAGAGATAATGCCAAGTTACCAAAGAGGTCATTACACTTGATTGTGGGATTTTTCGTTTTGTGAACATTTTGAAATCGGCATGTCTTGTTGACAATTTTAATTTCCAGAAATCTGAGAAATTTCCCCCCTTTGTAAAGAGACATGCTGTTTTTTTTCAATTAGGTGTTGTAACTGTCATTTGATAAATATTGGTATTACTGTAAACCACTAACATGAAATATTGAATTACACCTTTATGCAGTGCCTCAATGTGTGAACATCTGGAAATGTACCTGGTATTAATCCTGAATCAATTTTCTTTAGGTCATGTTGATGCTGGGAAAAGTACTCTGATGGGCCATATGCTTTATCTTCTGGGTAATATAAACAAAAGAACTATGCATAAGTATGAACAGGAGTCTAAAAAGGCTGGCAAAGCTTCGTTTGCATATGCATGGGTCTTGGATGAAACTGGCGAAGAAAGGGAAAGGTAGTCACTATATTTCAAAATTTTCAGTTTGAAGTCATACGGTCTTCTAAAATATGTGTGTAATATGTGTTGAATTTGTAAAACATAAATACTTTAGAGATTATTTTTAGAAAATAGCTTTTAAATATCAGGGAAATATTTTGACTTTTTTTGTTGTGATCTACATACTGTTTTTTCTCTTCTGAATTTTATGAAATAGATTAAAAGAATGTTTAAAAGAAACAAAACAAAAGCCATGCAGAAAAAACAGTAAAAATCATAAGCTAATTATTCTATGGGATAAGTTTCAGTTGTCACTTCCCTAAGTATTTGTCAAATTGTCTTGATTTTGAATTAAAATTATGAGTAAGACTTAATTTCATGTCAGCTTACAAAGGAAAGGTAACTGTAGTAAAACCTATTCTGTCTAGAATCTAAATAACCAGCAAATTCAAATTACCAAACAATTCATTTTTATACTGTATATATTATGTTTTTATGAGACAGTCAGCAAACAAGTAATTCTGTAGCTGTAATGCAGTTACTCCTCTGTCTCTGTTACTGTATTGAGTGCTAATTTTGGGGGGATTCTAGTAGGAATATGCAGCTACTCATATACTCTGGCCAAAGAATAGTATTTCTTTTGAAGTCTTTTTAGAGTGACAGTATAGATGGTGTTAGGGTTATTAGGGTGGGAGAGCCAAAGGAGACCTTAATAATTAGTGAAATGGCAGATACATTACTGTATCAAAATAATGACTCTTTACAAACCTGTAAAGTCCTGTGGAAGTCCTAAATTAACAAGGTGATTAAACTGTGTTCCCTGATGTCTTCAGTCTGATTATTGGAGAATATATCCGGATTTTCATGCCTTTTTAATGGGTATTTTGTTGCAGTCTTGGATAGTCTCCATTATAACATATAAGGTAACACTCTGTAAAGCAGGTCACAGTATTCCTTAGCTTTTCTGATATACCAGAATTTGTATCATAATGGTTTCTCTTTCTTTGTGGGTGTCTTTAGTTCTGGATAGTATCACAGACCTGTTTTCTATCCTAGTAAGAAAAATTAGCTGGACAGTTGCCAATTTTGGAAAACAATGGAATTATATATATTGCATTATTAGAAGCTTGAATAATTTTCACCTCTCAGTTTAACCAAGCACATTATTAAAGTATGTGGCTTTTTAGTTTTCTTTGCATTATCTAATAAGCAGGTAAAGACTTTGAGAACAGTATAATTTAAGTTAGAATGGTTTACTTGAATTTATCTAGTATCTTAGTTGAGCTGGCAAGTGAACTAATAGTCTATTTGATTCCTATAATGGTCAGTCATTTTAGCTTTTTTGACAATACATCTATTGATTGGCTTTCATATTTTTGCTGCTGCCTTTTGCTACTGCTAGTTCTTTATTGCTCAGCATGATATAAGTTTTAGAATATTTCTTCATTCCATAGATAGCAGATGCTTCCAGGTACATGATGGGAGTTTTAGCTCACCACCATATGTTCCTTAATAGCATTTACAAAGCATAATATGTTGCTTATCCCACCATGTTAAATATTTGTACATCTCCTGTTCTTCTCAGATACTGAAGAACAGAAATTGGTAAGCTGAGTGACATTTCATATCCTTAGGGTTACAAATTGAAATCAGAGCTGGGTCAGCAGAGTATACCCAGGTCAGTCTAGGGAGGATCTCAGAATAATTCTTAGTTCACCATTATTCTGAAGGTGCCTGTCGTCCCTAGACTATTTGGGAATTATTAAAGAGAATTAAGCATCACTTTGGCAAACTAGGATGGCCCATGCTTTCAGATTAAACTCAAATGGCTTGACTAGGGAGATCTACAGTTACTTTATTGCTAGGGCAATCCTATAGTTCATTATTCTAATTGTTGTACTCTTGATAGTAAAAGGGAGTATTATTAGTCCTTCCTTCGGGTGATTTTGGGGCAGACCTAGTTAATTGCCACATGATTTCCCTGTCTAAATTCCTGAGGCCTAGAATGACTGAGTGCCTTTGTAGACCTTCCTTGGGCCCTTCTTTTACAGGTTAAGCATCCCTAATCTGAAAATATGACATTTGAAATGCTCCAAAATCTGAAACTTTTTGAGTGCTGACATGACATCACAAGTGGAACATTCTACATCTGATTTCACGTGACAGGTCACACAAAACGACTAAAAATGTTGCATAAGATTCCCTTCAGGCTACGTGTATAATGTGTATATGAAACATAAAGGAATTTTGTGTTTAGATGTGGGTCCCATCCCCAAGATATCTCATTTTGTATATGCAAATATTCCAAATCCGAAAAAATCTGCCATTTGAAAAGCTTTAGTCCCAAGCATTTCACTAATCTGAATCTACATTTTTGTGGCTGAAAAAAGGCACTGTGTTTGTCTCCAAGAAGAATTAAATGGGATACAAAGCAATCTGCTGTTCATCTATCTGTTTTTAAAAATTAGGCATCTGGGCCGGGCGCGGTGGCTCAAGCCTGTAATTCCAGCACTTTGGGAGGCCGAGACGGGTGGATCACGAGGTCAGGAGATCGAGACCATCCTGGCTAACACGGTGAAACCCCGTCTCTACTAAAAATACAAAAAACTAGCCGGCAGGTGGCGGCGCTGTAGTCCAGCTACTCGGAGGCTGAGCAGGAGAATGGCGTAAACCCGGAGCGGAGCTTGCAGTGACCGAGATCGCGCCACTGCACTCCAGCCTGGGTGACAGAGCCAGACTCCGTCTCAAAAAAAAAAAAAAAAAAAAAAAAAATTAGGCATCTGCTTTGATACCCCGTGTTTTCTAAATATGTAGCATACTAACCAGCCTTGCAAATGTACATTTTATAAGCTCATTTCTATAATTAGTGAAGCATAAGCATAGAACATGAAGAAAATTACCTCTTGGTCGTGGTAATTTTTCATTTATCTTTTCTCATATGCAGTATTTTTCCCCCATTTAGAGTTGTCCCCATGTATCTATCTTTCTTCACAATTTACACTATTTCTTACAAAACAAATAAGGTAATAGGGCATAACTATCATTTTTATTGAGCTCTTAACTGTGTCCACCACTTTGTGTTAAAGCCGTAAGGATGCACTTCTCTTATAGCAGAAATTCCAGCCCCGAATGATAATTTAATTATTCAAAAATAATGGTCTATAAATACAATTTCCATTTTTACCTAAGAATGTAGATGGGCATGTAGACGGTTATTAATTTACTCTATAGCACTATTTACATAGTACATTCTAACTATGTTTTGTTTTGTTTAAGGGGAGTAACCATGGATGTTGGTATGACAAAGTTTGAAACCACAACCAAAGTTATTACATTAATGGATGCACCAGGCCATAAGGACTTCATTCCAAATATGATTACAGGAGCAGCCCAGGTAACTGCTGTTTTCTTTACTATAGTGTACTGATTGTACTTTACATAAAATTTCCTGATCCTGAGGTTACAGTTCTAGGATTTTAACTGTTAAAATATTTTAAAATTAAAAATTTTAATCTTTATAAAGCTTGAACAAAAAAAGAGCAATATTGTATTTTTCATGATCTTTTTACCTATACTTTGTAAAACCTTTTAAAATGTCTCACAAAGAAACAAAATGTATAAATGCTATGAGTTTCTTTATCATAAAAGTAATGGTAAAGGACTTGATGAGTATAGTTTCATATTTCCTTTATTGATAAGTTGGCATGAATATTTCAAAATCTGCTTTATGTCTTTCAATATATTCAAGTCCTATATCTTTTTAAAGAGCTTATTTATGCAGAAATAATGAAGCTTGGGTATTTTTGCCCAGTGGTTTATTTCCTTTCTTTTTAACATTAAAAAAGCATTGCAATTTGTAAATTACATGATTCTTAATAAGAATGCTGCAAAAAATCAAATATAATTTGCATTCATGCATCCCTTAATGATAAGGATATATTCTGAGAAGTGAGTTGTTAGGCAAGTTCATCATTTGTGAACATATTAGAGTATACTTACACAAATCTGGTTGGTAACATTTTTTATACACCTAGGCTACATGGAACCTATAGCTCCAAAGCTACAAACATGTATAACATATTACTGTATTGAATACTGTAAGCAGTTGTAGCATAGTGGTAAATATTTGTGTATCTAAACTGATCTAAGCATATTATAGAAAAGGTACAGTAAAAATAGGGCATAAAAGATAAAAAATGGAATATCTGTGTAGGGCACTTTCCATGAATCGAGCTTGCAGGAATGGAAGTTGCTCTGGGTGATTCAGTGAGTGAGTGGTGAGTGAATGTGTGAAGGCCTAGGACACGACTGTATACTTTACAAACACTGTACACTCAGGTGACACTACATTTATTTAAAAATATGTTTTTCTTTAATAGTAAATTAACCTTAGCTTACTGTAGCTTTTTTTACTTTATAAACTTTTAAATTTTTTTAACTTTCTAACTCTCTTATAATAACACTTAGCTTAAAGCACAAACATGTTGTACAGCTGTACAAAAATAGTTTCTTTCTGTATAGTCTTATTCCATAAGCTTTTAAAAATTATTTATAAATATGAATAATGTTTATAAATAAATTTTTTTTTTTACTTTTTAAACTTTTTTTGGTGAAAAGCAAAGACACAGATATGCACATTAGTCTAGGCCTACACAGGATCAGGATCATCAGTGTCACTGTCTTCCACCTCCACGTCTTGCCCCACTGGAAGGTCTTCAGGGTCAATAAGGTGCATGAAGCTGCCATCTCCTATGATAACAATGCCTTCTTCTGGATACCTCCTGAAGGACCTGCCTGAGGCTGTTTTACAGTTAATTTATTTTTTAATAAATACAAGGAATGTATTTTAAAATAATTATAAAAGTGAAAAATAGTAAGTACATAAACCACTGTCATAGTTATTATAAAGTACTATACATAATTACATATGCTATATTCTTTTATACAGTTGGCAGCACAGTAGATTTGTTTATACCAATATCACCACAGATACATGAGTACTGCATGGTGCTATGACATTTTGGCGACTACGACATCACTAGGCAATGGGAGTTTTTCAGCTCCATTATAATCTTACAGGACCACCATCGTATATGCGGTCCATGGTTGACCAAAACGTCATTATGCTGTGCATCACCGTAACTTTAAATGATTAAAGCAATGAAAATAGCACTGCATATATAGGACATTCATTTCTTTCATAATGGATGCTTACTGGAAAACATGAAGAGTTAAAATAACTTGACTCTGTTACATGGCAAAAGCGTGACTTCAAGCAATTAACCATTTTCTGGGATCTACTCATTAAAAGGTTAATTTTTTGAGACAGGGTTTCACTCTGTAGCCCAGACTGGAGTGCAGTGGCACAATCACCAGTCACTGCATCCACAACCTCCTAGGCTCAAGGGATCCTCTCACCCTAGCCTCCTGAGTAGCTGGGACTGCAGGCATGTGCCACCATGCCTGGCTAATTTTTAAATTTTTTGTAGAGATGGGATCTCACTGTATTGCCCATGCTAGTCTTGAAATCCTGGGCTCAGCATTCCTCCCGCCTCAGCCTCCCAAAGTGTTGGGATTACAGGCGTGAGCCACTGTGCCTAGCCAAAAAGAGAATTTTAATATGAAGATTTGTCAACCATAGAGGATATTGTATGAATACATTATAACATATTTGAAGATAAATAAGAAATTTTTGGTTCCATTTTAGAAAGTTGATATGTAATTTTAGAATATTAATTCAAGATTCATGGACTGAATGTGATAAAAGATTGAAATAAAGTAATTATGACTATTAATTGAGTATCTAATATGGGTCAAATACTGTATTAGGTATTATATGCATTTAGTTTAATATAGTCTTTATAACAACTCTAAGAAGTGTATATTATCACCATTTTAAATTAGTATACAATCATCCCTCCATATGCATGGGTTCTGCATTTATGGATTCAGTCAACTGTGGATTGAAAGTATTTGGGGGGGAAAAATTCCACAAAATTCCAAAAAGCAAAATTTGAATTTGCCGCACGCTGAGTACTGTGTTGAATCCATGCAAATGAAATGATGTTTAGGCATTGTATTAGGTATTACACATAATCTAGAGGTAATTTAAAATGTGTGAGAGGAAGTGTGTAGGCTGTATGCAAAGGCTATCCTGTTTTGTAAAAGGGACTTAAGCATTCATAGATTTTGGTATCCACAGGGGTTGGGAGGTCTGGAACCAATCCCTCACTGATACTGTGGGAAACTGTAGTTTTCATTGCATTTACCAAAGAATACAATATAGTTTTGATTTCTCCTTATATGTGTATATGTATGTGTGTGTGTATGTCTGTGAGTCTTTTTCTTTTTTTTTCATTGATTACTTACTGAATCCTGGCTGTGTAGCAAGCACTGAGGTAGCAGTGTGGGCATACAATGCCTACAAAGCACTGATAGTTTAGTGAGTGAGACAAACACCGGAACAAGCAGTTATAGTAAAAATGCTTTTGAATTCTAGAACCTTAGAGTGCATAGTTATTATAAAGATCGTTTATTCCAGACCCAGGGATGGAGGCTAACACCCGTAATCCCAGCACTTTGGGAGGCTGAAGTGGGCACATCACTTGAACCCAGGAGTTCAAGACCAGCCTGGGCAACATGGCGAAACCCTGTCTCTACTAAAAATACAAAAAATTACCTGGGTGTGGTGGCAGGTGCCTATAGCCTCACTTACTCAGGAAGCTGAAGTGGGAGAATCACCTGAGCTCAGGAAGTTGAGGCTGCAGTGAGCCATGAGGGAAGGGAGTAAGACCCTGCCTCAAAAACCAAAAATCATTTATTCCAAACTCTTTATGGAATTATGGTGGGAAAGGATTTTAGAGATCATCTAATTGAATTCCATTATGTAACAAATAAATAAAGAGACTCAAAGATGTTAAGTAACTTGCCGAGTGTGCAAAATATTGCAGTGGGCTTTGGGGACACAAAGAAGCATACGAGGCATGCTGCCTCACCTCAGGGAAATCACAGTGTAGAAGACGACACGTGAAGATGAAAGGCTAACAGTTGCACTCCAAGAACAGAGAAGATACGCGTTGTGGAGAGAGATCACTTTATTCTGCTTGATCATCAAAGGCTTCCTTGAGAATGCATAGTAGGCATTTGGACTCCCAAAGGCAAGAGCTGCTGCCTAGAAATAATATTAATAGAGAAATTGCCCAGAAATGTTTTGGAGATGGTAATAGGAAGATTAGGTAGAACATTTGTGGCCTTATGTATCTTAATACCAATTCAATGAATTTTACATTTTAACCTAAGAAGGTAAATATAATTTTACAGTTATTATGAAAACCTAATGAGAAAAAGATTGTCAATTACTGAGCCTAGGACTTGGAAGTTCAGGTATGGATGTTCTATATAAACTATATTTACTCCCTAGTGTTTCTATGAAGTAAGTAAGTTGATAATGCAGAGAGGCTAGACAACTTGCCTGAGGTGTGGAGAACGGTTATTGACTACAAGCATGCGTGAAAGAGCCAATTTTCAAATTGATTGTTTCAGTGTATGCTTATTCTTATCTAAGAATCCTTGATCAAAAGAACTGTATCTCATTGAGGAAATAAGTGTTCAGCTTTATAAAATATGAAGGATTGGAAGTGACGATGGCACTTAAGAGTAGAGACAAAGCAAGAGTATTTACGTACGAGTAAAAGGAAGCAGGAATAGTGTAAATTATCCCACCAGACAAAGTATATGGATGGTACTTCAATTTAAATTGTAATGTTCTATTGTGAGAAAATATCTGAGACATTCCTGACATATTTTATGACCATTTATTTTCCATTATGGTGAGGATTATATATGATATCTGAAATTCTTTAAAAACTGGAGAGCACAGAAATAAAGGGGTCGTTGGGGAAGCAACAAAGAAACAAGCTGTTGTGGACTCTGTTCTGACCAGAAAGCGGGAGAACTCAATAATGTGGATGGAATATAAGAGGACCCTAGAGAGAAAGTGATTATTGTGTAACAGTCCAAGATAGCTAAAGAGGGGAAGGGGAATGCCAGGTGTAGTCTTTGTTTCCTAGATTTCAGAAAAGTGGATTTCTGTGACAAACAGGTATGCATACAAAGCACAAGCTGTAAAAGAGAAAATAAAAGTGTTCTTTAAAAAATGCCCCTACAGTGCATTGACAGAAATAATTGATTAGAATGAAAAGGGGGAACGTCTGTGGTTGCTCAGACTGTCTATTGCACATTTTAAAAGGCTGTACCCACATGATGCAAGCGGCATCAACACAAAAGAATAGTGGGAACCTGTAACGTTAGTTTCCATAAGGCTAACAAAGAAACTGAGCTAAGCTAAGGTTAGCTTTCTTCTTGTGTGGGGTGTGTAATTTGAGTCTGAAAGAAATGTCTTTCTATCTGATTCACAAGATGGTCCACACAGGTTAGAAAACTTTGTTATGCAAGGCTTTTTTTCAATAGCTGTAGAGGATGAATATGCTGCTTTTTGATAATTCATATATTTGTTATTTTTCTTCATTATAAACAATACTCTGATGAATATCTTTGTAGATCTATAATTATTTCTCTGGGATAAATTCCTAGAGGTGGAATTGATGGGAAGTAAAATATGTATAATTTTTAAGTTCTTGATACTTTTCGTGAAAATACCCCCTGGAAGGTGGTGTACCTACAGTCCCGTAAGCAATATTTGAGAATGCGCTTCTCACTGCACCCTTGCCTACAGCAAATAATTTTGTCTTTTAAATCTTTAACAATGTGATTTGTAAAAATGGGAGAGGGGGAATATGTCAATGTGTTTTTATTTTACTTTTTAAAACTTTTGGTTTCTACTGAATTTGAATTTTTTTCATGTTTGTTGACCATTTATATTTCTTTAGCAAATAGCTTGCTTGTATCCTTTAAAGCTATGTCTTCTTTTTTGTTTTTTTTTGTAAAGACTCTATAGAGATTATAACTTTTACCTTATGTGTTACTAATGTTTGTCCCTCCCTGTTTACTGCTTTTTGTTTTTTTGAGACGGAGTATTGTTCTGTCGAGTAGGCTGGAGTGCAGTGGTGCGATCTCAGCTCACTGCAACCTCTGCCTCTCAGGTCAAGTGATTCTGATACCTCAGCCTCCCAAGTAGCTGGGACTACAGGTGTGCACCACCACACCTGGCTAATTTTTGTTTTTGTTGCAGAGATGGGGTTTCACCATATTGGCCAGGCTGGTCTTGAACTCGTGACCTCAGGTGATATGCCTGCCTTGAGCTCCCAAAGTGCTGGGATTACAGGCATGAGCCACTGTGCCTGGTTGCTGTTTATTTATGTTTTAATTTTGTTTATATTTTTCCTCCTTTGCTTAGATATTTTAATTGTTATATAATCAAATATGGCCATTTTTTCTTGGTCTTTATGTCATTATTTTTGGTGACTTTTATTTAAAATTTTAATCCATTTTTGGGAGTCTTTTGTTTGATTTGTTTTGATGGGGGTAGTTAGGGTCTTCCTTTAAAAATTTGACAACATAATTAATTGAATAATCTGTCCTTTGAATTAAAATGCTGAAACATTTTTTCTGGTTTCAATTATTTTTCTTCTTTAGGCGGATGTAGCTGTTTTAGTTGTAGATGCCAGCAGGGGAGAGTTTGAAGCTGGATTTGAGACTGGAGGACAAACACGAGAGCATGGACTCTTGGTCCGTTCTCTGGGAGTGACGCAGCTTGCTGTTGCAGTTAATAAAATGGATCAGGTATTTAAAGGCTTTGTGAAGATTTGTTTAAGATGCTAATTAAGATGTTATTCTGCTCATATAGATGACCTCAGATGTCACTAGTGTTTATTTTATTAGTCAGTTGCCATGTTTTTAAAAATAAATTCTCTGCTCTCATCTTAAAAGAGGTGCTAGTAATTTTTAAGCAAGAACATCTTATTTTCAAAATTAATTTTTAAAACCTAAAAATTGTTTTAAATTATAAAATAATAGATGTTTATTATAGCAGAATGAAAGTATAAAAATCAGAAATAAACCTGTATTTCCAATTCTCCTTCCCACCCAGAAACTTATAATATTTCATTTTGTATATTCATGCAATTTATTTTTATAGATAAGAATCTTTTTATTTACAAAATTGGGTTATCTGTTTTATCATCTTCTTTTTAAAAAAAGATAATTTTCTTGTCTTGTACATGTTTCCAAGTAATTAATAATCCTTAGATAAAGAGGGTATTGTTTTTATGATTGAATTCTAGTCTATTTTAAAGATATAATTTATTAAACATTTACTTTTGAACATTTCCTGCATATGTATTTAGAAATGGTTCATTCCATGGAAATTTCTGGGCTTAAGGGAATATACCTTTTAAGACTTGCTGAACATGATTAAAATGCCTTTGAGCAAAATTCTGGTTATTTACTTCTGGCACATATGGTGTATTTACTTTTCTAAACTCTTATCACCACTGCTGTTATTACAAAATTGTTTTCCCAATTTATGTATAAAACATGATTCCTCTTTTTTAAAACATTTACTGTTCTGTGAATGTTTGCATTTAAATATGTTTTGTTGATTAACAATTTGTTTTTTCTTTTGGGAATTATTTATATAATTTCCTCATTTATATAACTATTTTTTTCTTATCGGTTTGTAAACATACTTTATTTATTAAAGTTATTACCCCTCCATCCTCTCTTAGATATCTTTTCCAATTTGTTATTTTACTTTTTGTTTATGGTATGTTTTGGACATATACTCGAACTTATAAATAGTTCCTTTTGACTTCTATCTTTATGCCTAGGTATTTTCTTTTTCTTTTTCTTTTCTTTTTTTTTTTTTTTTTTGAGATGGGGGTCTCACTCTGTTGCCCAGGCTGGAGTGCTGTGGTGCCATTATAGCTTACTGCAGCCTCAATTCCTGGGCTCAAGCAGTCCTCCCATGTCAGTCTCCCTAGTAGCTGGGTCTACAGGTGTGTGCCCCATGCCTTGCTAATTTTTAATTTTTTGGAGCAATAGTATCCCACTGTGTTGCCCAGGCTAGACTGGAACTCCTGACCTCAAGCTATCCTCCTGCCTCAGCCTCTCAGAGTGCTAGGATTATAGGTGTGGGTCACTGCACCCAGCCTGCTTAGGTATTTTGTTACCCTGGGATCTGATTCACCCACATTTGCTATTAGTTCCTTTATGGTATCATTATTACATGTACTTTTAATTTTTTCCCAGCATTTGACCATGAAAAATTTCACTATAAAGAAAAGCAAAAAAAATTTTACAATAAACATCCATATTATACCCACTTGTTAAGATTCTGCCTCATACTTGATCACATATTGGTTTCTCTATCTACTTCTTTATCTATCCATTAATCCATTTCTTTGGCATGCATTTCCATGTAAGTTGCAGACCCCTAAATACTGCAGTGGCATGTCATTATCCAGAGTTCATATTACGTATACTTTTTTAGTCTATTTGGCTTGAGGGGAGTGCTGATTATTTTATTTTGTTCTAACAGTTGGTCCAAGCAAAAGTGAGTAAAATACTCACTTTTTCCCCCCAAATTTGAAATCACTTTTAGCATATATAGAAAATTCTAAATGTACTAGAGACTATTTCTAGGCTTTCTGTTTTAGGAACAGTTACTTTTAGATCATATTACTAGCAAGGTTTGATATTCTGTGTTTTGATTTTAATAGATTTTATATTTATATTTGATATAGTCTTGATTATATTTCATTGCAGAAATTTAAATTTTATGTATCATGTTCTGAAGCATAGTTTTAAAAATAAATTGGATCTTTATCAGGTTAATTGGCAACAAGAAAGATTTCAAGAGATTACTGGAAAACTTGGGCACTTTCTTAAGCAAGCAGGTTTTAAGGTAAGATCATTTCAGATTTATTTGTTATTACTTTCCTTAAGTCATCTTACTGATATGAGAGGAAAAACTAATACTTTGATATTCTTATTAAATTTGTTTAATTCTCTTTGCTTTATTTTCTCTTGAGTATCATGTATATAATATATTCTTTGGATTATTTCACCTTAGAAAATTGCATATGTTTAATATTTGGGTTGGTTTTTATGTAAGCAAAATACTTTTACCCTACTTATTAAATTAGATGGTATACGTTTAGGGAGGTCATAGAGGAATGTGGAAACTGATAGGGAGGAATTTGTCCAGCAAGCATCTGTAATATGCCTTTGTTACCAAATGCTTGAATATTTTGGAATAAATTTGCAAGTTTTCCACAATCAAAAAGGTTGAAAATTAATTGGATCAGATGACTTTGGGGCTGTAGTTCTATGATTTCTATTACCTTTTAAAAAGTACATTGTTGCTTTTGCAAACTTGGTGCAGTTATGGTAATGGTGAATCTTTTAACGTTTTAAAAAATGTTGTATTAAGTTTCTTAAGTCATTCTTTTTAATAGGAGAGTGATGTAGCTTTTATTCCTACAAGTGGTCTCAGTGGTGAAAATCTAATCACAAGATCTCAGTCAAGTGAACTCACAAAATGGTATAAAGGACTATGTTTATTAGAACAAATTGGTAAGTATGCTGCCATTCTAGCTTTAATGCATTATAAACTTGGTATTATTATTTAGAGTTCTTTCTGGGAGATAGTGAAAAAGCATAGGATTTGTAGTCAGAGGAACTAAGTTGCCTGTTTTGTCATCATGTGCAATACTTAACCTATCTAGTGTTCAGTTTTCCTCAGTTAATGAGCCTAGTGCCTGGTTTACATATCTATAGACTTGTTAAAATTAAATGAGATTAACATTCATTTTATAAACTACAAACTATTACTTGGTTGAATATCCCTTATCTGAAATGCTTGGGACCCAAAGTGTTTGGGATTTTAATTTTTTTGGGGGGTGGATTTTGGAATATTTACATTATACTTACCAGTTGAGCAGCCCAAATTCAAAAATCTGAAATCCAAAATGCTCCAATGAGCATTTCCTTAGAGCATTATATCAGCGCTCAAAAAGTTTCAGATTTTGGGGCATTTCAGATTTCAGAATTTCAGATTTGGGATGCTCAACGTGTATATTAGTGACAGTTAATTTGCTATTAGTAATTACAAAAAGTAGTTACTTTCTAGGAGAAGTGGGATTATAATGAGTTTATTGAAGTGAGTCAGACATTTAATTTTAAATTAAACCTTGCCTTTTGCAATTTTTTTTTCCAGATTCCTTTAAGCCTCCCCAGCGATCTATTGACAAGCCTTTTAGATTATGTGTGTCTGATGTTTTCAAAGGTAAGTGCTACCTCTGCAGTGCTGCTTCAGTATAGCCCCCTTTTCCCCATTCCCTCCTAACCTTCTTTCCTGGACTAAGTTATGACAGTATATTGCCTTCAGAGTCTCTCTTCTCCATGCCCAAGTATGGATCATTGCCAGATTAATCTTAAAATGCACAGTTTTAGTCACTTAGCTTTAGTTTACTCACCATTTCTCATCTTTCAAGCATAAGAAAACCTTGCCTTTTGTCTTTCTAACTTTATAGTTTTTTTTTTTCCTTCCATTAGATTCCTTTAGTTTTGAAATCCTTCAACCAAACTGGATTGTTTATTGTTTCTTAACCAGACAGGATGTGTTTATTGCCACATGTCTACCCATACTTCCCTGTTGTATTGTTCTTTCTCTTTACTTGCCCATTTCCTATCCATCTGTAGCAGTCTGGGTCCAGTTAGGAGTTAGATACTACACATAGGTGAAATGGGAAATGTAATATAAAGAATTATTAACTATGATAACAATGCAACTAAAAGATATACAGAAACTTTATAGGTAGGCCTGAGGAAGGACCAACATAAAAGAGGTTCAGAGCTTGCTGGAAGAGATGATATATTAAATACCTAAGAATATAACTAACTTAATATGGGCAATATCCCGTATAGAAGACTATAAAATGGAAATACAATTTAAAAACTCAATAAATAAAAGGATGTAAGATTTATTATTAGAATAATAAAAACTGTAAGGGTGTCATTTGTCCTCCTAATCTCCATTGTCACAGAGCCGGCAATGCAGAGTGAATCTGGAACTGAGCAGCAGTAAATTGATAACCGGCGTGCTTACCTGCCCACATGCCCTGATGTGTTCCCTCTGTACTCTCTGTACCCTCTGTCATTGTGCTTTCATGCAGCGTTATAATTTTTTCTATGCTGTCTGTTTATCCCACTTAGATTATGAACTCCTTGAAGGCAAGTACTGTCTCTTCTTTATCTATATCTGCAGCCCTAACCCAGTACCTGGCACATAATACATTTAATATATGAATAAAAAAATGAATGAATGAAGGTGCTTTGAAAAAATCATGCAATGAAATTGAAATTTATCATTATCATTATTAGCTTCCAGTGTTCTAATAATAGAGGAAATATGCTAATAGTTTCCAAGATGCCCATTGTTTGTCAAGAATACAAGAGGTGGTTACTTTTCTTTGATTAACAGTGTTTACTGACTGTACTTTCTCACCTCCTGTTCCCCTTTCAGGCTGCTTCCTGGCTTCCGCCTACGCTGCTCTCCTGAGTGTGTTCCTCCTGAGGTCATGAAATGACCTCTTGGTTGCCAAAGTCAATATACACTTTCAATTCTATCTTACTTGAATTTGGCATTGGTTCTGATGCTGGTAGCCACATCCACCTTGAAACTCCTCCCTTGGTTTCTGTGACCTGCTTTCTCCTGTTAACCTGTCTGTTTCTCTGACCGCTCTATATCTTCTCTGTGGGCTCCTCATTCTCTGTCTCTTAAACAGTGTTCTGCTATGCCTCAGACCTCTTCTTACTCTGCAAGTCCTTTCGAACTGACATCCATGAGTTTCTCTACCTACTGCATCTTGATGCTTCCCAAATCTGTATCTCCAACCCAAACCTTTTCACTCATTCTCCACTCACTTGTCTAAGCACTACTGGACATCTGTCCTGGGAGAGTGTTCTTTTAGGGTTACCATTCTTATGGAATGTGGTGTGATTGGTCCCCCGTGGAATGCAACTTTTGCATGTGTATGTCTCATAGACACTTCAGATTTACCAAGCCTAAAATGGATCTTGTCCTTAGTTTCATATCTCACAGTTAATGCATCATCATCTCAGATTTTCCCCTGTCTGTCATTAGTCTTCACTTTCCTTACCACTCCAAACTTGTTATTCTTTATTCCCGAATTCTTGAGTTTATTCCCTTTCTGTAGTAAGTTTGTGCATTTGTGTTAGCCTCTACTCTAAGACAGAAATACCATCACCTTACTTCTCCGGTCACAGTATTTACTGGCTTCTTATTACTTAACTGCAGGATGAAATTTAAACCCTAAGCGTGATTTATGAGACCCCTTTATTATTTCTCCCTTGCCTATCTCTGTTGCCTGCTGTCTTGCCTTTTCTTCATTATTCTATATGGCCCCATAGCCCCAACAAGTGACACATGGCTCTTAGCCCATCCCACACTTGGTTATGCCTTTGCACACACAGTTTCCTGGGCAGCAGTGTCTTCCTTTTTCTCCCTACCCATGCATACAAGTTACCTAATAAACACTTACTCCTTCTTCAGAGTGCCCTGATGTCTATTCTCACCATCATGGATTCTTTGGTGCACCTTTCTGTTTCTATTGTATATTTTAAATATCATTTGTCTCAGGACAATGTAATTGTTTTCATCTTTCTCTTCACTAGTATATCTTTATGGGCAGGGACTTACATTTTTATTTTTTTTATCCCCAGAGTTTAGTATAATGTCTGGCACTCAAATATTTATTATTTATCAATGAATATTTGAGAAAGGAATGAACCTTTTTTTTTTGTAATATAAGTCTTATTTGCAAAAAAAAAAAAAGTAAAGTGTGGTATGACATACTTAGTGGAGATGTTAATTCTGAAATGACTATTATTTAATGTCCATTGAACGGCTAGTTTTATATGACTACTTGGGAACTAAGTATAGTTAACAGTATTAATCATCAGATAACATTGCTGTATGAATCGTAAGATTTTGGTATGTTTTGCAGATCAAGGATCTGGATTTTGCATAACTGGTAAAATTGAAGCTGGTTATATCCAAACTGGTGACCGACTACAGGCAATGCCTCCTAATGAAACTTGTACCGTAAAAGGTATTTATCTACAAGATGCTTTTGCTAAACAGGCCTTAAGTTGAGACAGCAGATTTTTAAAAAGTAGTTTAGTTACAACTCCAAAGTAAGTAACCTCTTACTGAAATTGTAACTGACTGTCAAAATGATACTGACTGTTGAAGATTAAAATGTGAAAACATTAAACGATTTTTTTCTGTTGTGACTGTGTCTATATATATATACATGTAACATTCTAACTGTGGTAGCATTCTGTTTTTGACACTGATTTGAGAAGCCTGGTTAGGATTTAACCAGATATGTATAGATACCTAACAGATATATTTGGAATAATATTCTGCGGCAGAAATTAGATCTAGTCCCAGCCTGACCCTAACTAGTCAATGGCAAAGCAGCCTTCTATAGTCTGTTACTTTGAAATGTATGTTTCAGAAAACTATAAATTAACAACTTCAATCATGTTTATGCCAAAAATGTAGGTATATTTTATACGAAGATATAAGTAAGATTCAAATGGAAAAAAAACCCAATGTTGAAAAGAGAAATTAAACTAGTTTAAATTACCAGTCACTGTTTCTGCATATAGATCTAATATTTTTTTCGTAATGGCTGATAATTATTTTTGTCTTCTAATACATCTAATACATACATATATATTTATGTATATGTATACGTGTTATATGTTACATGTACATGTGTGTTATTTTCCAAATTTTGACTAAAACTTTCTAATTCTATACCTCTTTTATTCTGGCTTCCAACTTTAAGCCTCTGATTTCTGAAGATCTGTTTTATACTATAAAATAATATTATTTGTAACCACTTTAAGCTGAAGTATAACCTATTGAAAATGTAAAAATTTTTTAGATTTTAGTATTTTTTTCTCTGTTACTCTTAATTTATAGTTTACATTTACCTGACTACTTTATAAATTTGAATGTATGTTTTTCTTGAATTAATATGCTCTCTTTAAAAGAAGATTTCTTGAAAAGTTTAAGAAATTAGTATCTATTGAAGTTACATGGTTTAAACTATATTTAAAGATGAGTAAGGGAACGAAAACCAGTTATTTCCATTTGAACTTTTTATTTCTGCCCACTAGGGATCATGAAATTTCTGTTTTGATAAAAAGTAATATGCACTTTAAAAACAGTGTCATTTTCTATAGATCTGTTCATTGTGTGCAAGTACAGGTGTCTGCTTTTGCTTTTTAAAGTGATTAGAGCTATAATACTTTTGAAACACTATTTTTTTGGTATGTTAATGATCTTTTTTGAGAACAAGAATTTTTTTATGATTAAGAGCCATAAATTAAAACCATGATCCTAAAGTTATCACAGACCTTGAGATTGGCTCCCTTGTAATCTCTAAAATCCTTAGTCACCTCTGAAAGTCTCACATTCTTTACCCCCGTCTTCTCTATACTTTCCACATGTAAACTCTAAAGTATTGTCTTTAATCAGTGTTTGTTAAGAAAGAAGTCTTTTTTTTTTTTTTTTTTTTTTTGAGACAGAGTCTCGCTTAGTCGCCCAGGCTGGAGTGCAATGGCGCAATCTCGGCTCACTGCAAGCTCCGCCTCCCGAGTTCACGCCATTCTCCTGCCTCACCCTCCCGAGTAGCTGGGACTACAGGCGCCCGCCGCCTCGCCCGGCTAATTTTTTGCATTTTTAGTAGAGACGAGGTTTCACCGTGTTAGCCAGGATGGTCTCGATCTCCTGACCTCGTGATCCGCCCGTCTCGGCCTCCCAAAGTGCTGGGATTACAGGCGTGAGCCACCGCGCCCGGCCAAGAAAGAAGTCTTATCAGAAGCCCCAGGGAAGAACCACCCTACTCCTTAAGAGCCAGACTTTTAACTTAACGGAGAGATTCTCAGTCCTCGATTTCTAACCTTACTGCTTTTGCTTGGTTTACTTGATTCTTGAATGCACTGTTCTGTCTCAACATTTTTGGGTACTACTGTGGCTCTCTAACCAGTACTGTCCCAAAAGAAACACTTGACTGAATCTACTACCAACAAATAGAAATTCTAAATTACTTTTTAACATATCAGGCTCATGGAGTATTAAAAAAGGGCTTCTTTTTGTAATGTTTGTCCAGTGAGAAAAGTTTTTTGATAAATGTCGTATGTGAAACAGTGTAACATCATTGAGGGGAAGAAGAACCAGATAATATAATTACCTTTGGAAAATTTTATACTGTTAATTGAACTTGTAGTGTGAAACCTCTACAGATTTTTAAGCCAAAGGCAATATCTTTTGTATGTAAATACCTAGCTTCTGTTTTTAATTCCGTATTTCATAGCAAAATTCAGATACAGTCATTCTAAATTTACATTTTAAAGTGAAATCTTGTAAGTTGATATTTAGCAAACATTCCTTAATACCATAATTGCTAACATGTTTGGGAGGAAGAATTTCTGGTACTTGAAGAAAGTTATGCCTTCTTTTCTCAAGATGAATGCAGATGTGCACATACATGATATTTTGCATAAAACTCTAGATTGTCTCAGAGCTCTTAAAGTTAAATCCTTGAGCTCCCTAAAAGTCAGAAACTCTCCCTGCTGCATAGGAAATGAGTATTTTCAGAAAGATATGGGTGGATTATAATTTACTAAGAACATGTCAACATGTCAATCAAGAACTATCCACAATGGTTGGCCTACACATTCTCTTTGTCAAAAGGCCTACATTCCTATGGAAAGGAACTTAATCCATAAATGGATTCCATAAAATCAGAAAATATGGCATATATTTTAAAAACCTTTGAATAAGATAGCTGAGTATTGCCCTTGGGAACTGCTTTCCCCGACTACCTTCAGGACTATGTCTAGGTAAATAGATGTATATCTCCAGATATATAGCAACACCTAGGATCATTTTTAAATTAAATTTTCTTATCACTATTTCCTTAATATTTTTCTTTTCATATAAGCAATCATTAGTACGCAGATCTCTCTCTGGAAAGAAGTTCTTTTGAGCCAGGAGTAGTTAAGGGGCCTGCTGAGAGGACCATTTGAAATTCTGACTGAGAGTACGTGTCCCATGGGTTACTTGGAAAACAAGGATTACTTGTTTAGGTGGTTGTCTAATTAAAAGCAAAACTCAAGAAAATACTGCTAGACATCTTCTCCAGTCCCATCTTTTATGTCATTATGAGTAACTTGAACTGTGTTTTGTCTGTATCCATTAATATAATAGAAATATTTGAATGGGGCCTGTTTAATGAATATACCAATTGTGTCAATTAGTTTAAAAATCTTGATTAAATAAGCAGAAGTCGGCCTTTTATGGGCAAATACAAGTCACTTTATGTTTAGGGTGGTATTCTAGAAGAGTCAGTTCTAGAGGAAATGTGTTTTCCTCAACGCTCACAGTTACACTTCTTACTCTCAATCCATTCATATTGAAAATGATGAGTAGTGACTGATGAAGCACAAATCAGCCAAACTCTGTTGGTTGTTATGGTTTGATATCGAGGTGTTTCACTGTATGCTTTGGTTCTTACTCATTTCCAGGAATCACTCTGCATGATGAACCTGTTGATTGGGCAGCAGCAGGCGATCATGTTAGTCTTACTTTGGTTGGGATGGATATCATCAAAATCAAGTGAGTGAGAAAATGAGTTTAAGCAACTGTTGTCTTCATATAGGACCTCACCTCTAAACACGTGTATTTTGCAATCTACTAGTTCAGTTTTGAATTTCATTTGACCAAAAATAGACACCTGTGGAAATGTAAGCAAACTTACTTAAAATTTTAATTAATACATGTCAGCAAACATACTTGGCATGTGCTTTGAGTGAAAGCTCTAATGTGTAAAAATGATGTAAGGTTAATAATGGTTTAAAGCCATGTTTTAGCTCAGAAGGGAATATTTAGAAAAAGTCCCTAACTAATTGTTTTACTTTCCTTGTAAATGTTTTTGAGGTCTTTCTATTTGATATAAATTTGTCCCCCAACTACCTTTCCTCTTTTTTTGTTCTTACAGTGTTGGCTGCATATTTTGTGGCCCCAAAGAACCTATTAAAGCTTGCACTCGCTTCAGAGCCCGAATCCTCATCTTTAATATTGAAATTCCTATCACTAAAGGATTTCCTGTAAGTTCCCAAATGTTTTATTCCTGTATTCAAAGTAATTTTATCCTAAAAGTGATAACTTTCTTTACAAGTGGTGATACTATATTTATTTTCAATTAACATCTTATTACTGTAATCCAGAAAAACTTATGATTAGAAAATCATTTTTATTTTGTTTTTTATTTTGATCCTTGAGCCTGGGGCTTTTTAAAAGGCATTGAGAAGATATTTCATAATAAATAGGATACAAAGTAATGATAATAAAATTTATCCAGGGAAAAATGATAGACACATTTTCACTGTGTTCTAAAGTTTACCTAAGTTTTTTAGGTTGAATCATTCTGGGTTTCCATTTTGTTTAGTATGTCGATTTGCAGTTTTTCTGATAATAAAAGTAATAGATTGTTTAGAAAATTTTTGAAAACACATAAAAATATGGAAAATAAAAATGCCATATATTTGCATAATCCATAAATATGTATTTTTACATGTCAGTGTGTTTTAATGTGAGCATTTTATCCACCCAGTGTGTGTATATACTGGTATGTATTGGGTGTATTCTGGGGATCCTAGATAGACAGTAAACTTTAATTGTGCTGAAGCAACACATTCAGACCCTGCATGTTGTAAGGTTGGTTTGCCAGCATCATTTGAACATATACATTTTATGGGAAGAGGGAGATTTTATACAATAATGTTACCTGCCCTGAAAAGCTGTTACTTGTTAATAGTCTGGATTTTTTGTTTTATGTGTAATTGTTTTGAGATATTTGGGACCATACTCTTATAGTTTGGTACCTTGCTTTTGCCACATGACGGATGACCATTTTCCCATTAGACTTTTTTTTTTTTCTAATTAGCTCATATAGTACAGATTCTGCATGACAGTAAATGTTTCTCAGTGACATTTCTACCATTTGATGCATCTTTGAAATAAAAGTAAGACTTTTTAAAGTTAGCGATAGTGGTGGGTTGGCAATACATTTATTTGGGTCATTTATACTGATACACTTATATTTGAGATAATCATGTACTTTATAATTCTTTGTAATCATTTCTACATTAATTTGATCATGTAAAATTATATTTTAAGGTGCTATTTAGGTACTTTACTTTCATAATTATATTCCATTTCTTCCATACACTAAAAAAGAAATGAAAGCTTTAAAAAAAATTACTATAGTTGAAGATACTTAAATATTCAGAATTCATGTATTGATCATCAAGTAACAACAGGTTAATTGTTGTGAGCGAATGGAACTCATTCATAGAAAGCAGTATGTCCTATGGGGCAAAGGAGAGGTTGGTTACTGCATATTTTTACTCATGCAGTAATAATATTCGCCAATGGAGAGGGAGAGAGGTCAAGAGGTCAGTAGTGACTTTGAATAGTAATATTGTCTACCTGACTACTGTAGTTTCTTAAAAATAAGCACGAATTGCAAGTTTTTCAGTGTTGCTTTAGGAGATTCTACTGGCATACATTGATTCAGAAATACCAGGATCAAATTTGTTTCAGAAAAAATGGTCATATTTTGTCAATCTACTCCCTATGGGAGAAAAACTTCAAAAAAAATTTTTTTAAGCAAACAAAGGTTTCCTAAGCTATTAAAATTTTACTATTTAGGGACTAATACCATAATACTACATAAATGTATTTAAATTTCCCCTATTTTATTTCAGTAGCTTTTGGGGAACAAGTGATTTTTTCCTTTGTTTTTTATTTATTTGTCAATTTTCTTTTGACTTCTTTTTTTTTTTTTTTTTTTTTACCAACTAGTGGTTTTTGATTACATGGATAAATTGTATAATGGTGAAATCTAAGATTTTAGTGTATCCATCACCCAAGTAGTGTACATTGTACCCAAGATGTAGTTTTTTATCCCTGACCCTCCCCCAAGGCCCTACCCGCTACTGAGTCTCCAGTGTCCTCTATACTGTTCTATTTGTCTTTGTGTACCCATAGCTTAGCTCCCACTTTTAAGTAAGCACATATGCTATTTGATTTTTCATTCTTGAGTTACTTCACTTAGAATAATATCCTCCAGCTCTATCCAAGTTGCTGCAAAACACACTATCTCTACCCTTTGTATGGCTGAGTAGTATTCCATGGTGTACATATACATTTCCTCTATCCACTCATTGGTTGATGGGCACTTAGGTGGGTTCCACATTCTTACAACTGTAAATTGTGCTGTGATAAACATGTGCATTCAGGTATCTTTTTGACATAATGACTTATTTTCCTTTGGGTAGATACCCAGTAGTGAGAGCACTAGATCAAATGGTAGATCTACTTTTAGTTCTTTGAGAAATCTCCATACTGTTTTCTTCAGAGGCTATACCAATCCACATTCCTACCAGCAGTGCACAAGTGTTCACTTCTTCATCGCATACATGGCAACATCTATTGTTTTTTGACTTTTTAATAATGGCCATTCTGGCTGGAGTAAGGTGGTATCCCATTGTGCTTTGATTTGTACTTCCTTGATGATTAATGATGTTGAGCATGTTTTCATATGTTTCTTGGCCATTTGTATGTCTTCTTTTGAGAAGTGTCTCTTCATGTCACTTGCCCATTTCCTGATGTAATTGTTCGTTTTTTTTTTTTCTTGCTGATTTGAGTCTTTTGTAGATTCTGGATACTACCTGTCAGATGCATAGTTTGCAAATATTTTCTTTCATTCTGTGGGTTGTCTGTTTACTATATTCAGGATTTCTTTGCTGTGTACTAGCTCTTTAGCTTAATTAGGTCTTATCTATTTATTTTTATTTCCATTGAATCTGCTTTTGGGGTCTTAGTCATAAATTCTTTATCTAGGTCAATGTCCAGAGGAACCTCTCCCAGGTTTTCCTCCAGAATTTCCATGGTTTCAGGTCCTTGATCCAAGTCCCTCTTGAGTTGACTCTTGCATGTGGTGAGAGATAGGAATCCAGTTTTCATTCTTCCATATGTAGCTATCCAGATTTCCCAGCACCATCCGTTGAATAGAGTGTCCTCTCCCCAGTTTATGTTTTTGCATGCCTTGTCAAAGATCAGTTGGTTGTTAAGTATTTGACTTTGTTTCTGAGTTCTCTATTCTGTTCCATTGGTCTATGAATCTACCTTTATACCAGTAACATGCTATTTTGGTTATTATAGCCTGTAGTATAATTTGAAGTAAGGTAATGTGATGCCTTCAGATTTGCTTTTTTTGCTTAGGATTGCTTTGGCTAATTGGGCTCTCTTTTGGTTCCATATGAATTTTAGAATTGTTTTTTCTAATCTTGTGGAAAATGATGTTGGTATTTTGACAGGAATTGTACCAAATCTGTAGATTGCTTTGGGCAGTGTGGTCTCTTCCGCGATATTGATTCTTCCATTTCATGAGCATGGGATGTATCTCTGCTCATTTGTCATCCATGATTTCTTTCAGCAGTGTTTTGTAGTTCTCCTTGTAAGAGATCTTTCACCTCCTTGGCTAAGTACATTCCTAGGTGAGTTGGTTGGTTGGTTTTGTAGCTGTTGTAAAAGGGATTAAGTTCTTGTTCTTGATTTGATTCTCAGCTTGATTGTTGTTGGTGCTACTGATTTGTGTACATTGATTTTGTAACCCGAGACTTTACTGAATTCATTTATCAAATCTAGGTGTTGTTTGGGTGGAGTCTTTAGGGTTTTCTAGGTATGTGATTATATCATTGGCAAACAGAGGTAGTTTGACTACTGTTTTCCAATTTGGATGCCCTTTATTTCTTTCTCTTGCCTGATTGCTCTGGCTAGGACTTCCAGTACTGTGTTTAATAGAAGTGGTGAGAGTGAACATCCTTGTCTTGTTTCAGTTCTTAATGGGAATGCTTTCAGCTTTTTCCCCATTTAGTATGATGTTGGCTGTGGGTTTGTCGTATGTGGCTTTTATTATTTTGAGGTGTGTTTCCTCTTTGCCTAGTTTATTGAAGTTTTTATCATTAAGGGATCCTGGATTTTATCTAGTGCTTTTTCCACATCTATTGAGATGATCATCTGGGTTTTTTTTTACTTTTAATTGTTTCAGTGATGAATCACATTTATTGGCTTGCATATGCTGAACCATTCCTGCATCCCTGGGAGGAAACCTCCTTGATCATGGTAAAATACCTTTTGGACATGCTGTTGGATTTTGTTTGCCAGTATTTTGTTAGGGATTTTTGCATCTATGTTTATCAGGGATATTGGTCTCTAGTTTTCTTTTTTTGTTATGTCCTTTCCTGGTTTTGTTATCAGGGTGATGATACTGGCTTTATGGAATGAGTTAGGATTCTCTCTTTTTCAATCTTTTAATAATTTCAGTAGGATTGGTGTTATTTCTTTGAATGTCTGGTAGAATTTGGCTGTGGATCCATCTGGCCCTGGGCTTTTTTGTTGTTGTTGGCAATTTTTTTTATTACTGATTTATTCTCACTGCTTGATATTGGTCTGTTTAGGATTTCTTATTTCTTCCTGATTCAAGCTTGGAGGGTTGTATGTTTCCTCTAGATTTTTCAGTTTGTGTGCACGGACGTGTTTATAATAGTCTCAAATGATCTTTTGTATTTCTGTGGTGTCGTTTATAATGTCTCCATTTTCATTTTGAATTGAGCTTATTTGAATCTTCTCTCTTCTTACTCTATATTTTTTTAAGTGGAAATAATAGAAGAATGGATTAGACTTTAAGTTAATTTATATTTGATTTTATTATTTTATATATATATAAAGCATGGAATTTACCACTTTTAAGTGTACAATCAGTGGCATTAAGTACCTCCACAATGTTGTGCAGTCATCACTATGATTCATTTTTTTTTTTTTTTCTCTTGAGATGGAGTCTCTCGCGTCCAGGCTAGAGTACGGTGGCACAATCTTGGCTCACTGCAACCTCTGCCTTCTGGGCTCAAGCAGTTCTCCTGCCTCAGCCTCCCGTAACTGCCTCAGCCTCCCGAGTAGCTGGGACTGCAGGTGTGCGCCACCACGGCTGGCTAATTTTTTGTATTTTTAATGGAGACGGGGTTTCACCTTGTTGGCCAGGCTGATCCCGAACTCCTGACCTTAGGTGATCCACCAGCTTTGGCCTACCAAAGTGCTGGGATTACAGGCGTTGAGCCACTGCGCCCAGCCAGTCATCACTACTATTCATCTGCAGAACTTTTTCAACATCCCAAACTGAAAATCTGTACCCATTAAACAGTAACTTCCCATTATTTGCTCTTGGTATCCCCTGGTAACCATTCTTCTACTTACTTTCTCTGTGAATTTGCCTGTTCTAGGTTCCTTATGTAAGTGGAATCATACAATATTTGTCCTTTTGTGTCTGGCTTATTTCACTTAGCAAATTGTTTTCATGGTTTGTCCGTGTTGTAGTGTGTATCAGAATTTCATCCCTTTTTAAGCCTGAATAACATTCCATTGCATGTATATACCACCTTTTAAAAATCCATTTATCTGTTGATGCACATTTGGGTTATTTCCATCTTTTGGCTGTTATGAATAATGCTGCTGTGAAAACGGATGTACAAGTATCTATTGGGATTCATGCTTTCCTTTCTTTTGGGCATATGCCTAGGAGTGGAATTGCCGGATCATATGGTAATTCTATGTTTAACTTTTTGAGGAACTGCTAAACCATTTTCCACAGGGGCTCTACCATTTTACATTCCCACCAGCAGTGCATAAGGGTTCTTTTTTCTCTACTTCCTTGTCAACACATTAAATAACAAGTTTTCTAGGAGTGGGGTGTGGGAGAGGGATTTTTAAAAATATAATAGGCAAACTAATAGTTGTTAAGTGGTGTCTTATGGTGGTTTCAATTTGCATTTCTCTAATTAGATGCTGAACATCTTTTCATGTGCTTATTAGCCATTTGTATATCTTTGAGAAATGTCTTTTTAAATCCTTTGCACATTTTGAATTAGGTTGTGTTGTTATTAATAGAAATTCTTAATATCATCCCCTATTACATACATGATTTGCAGATATTTTCTCCTATTCTCTAGGCTGCCTTTTAATTCTCTTGATAGTGTCCTTTGCTGCACGAAAGTTTTTAATTTGGTTGAAGTACAGTTTATTTTTTCCTTTGTTGCCTGTGTTTTTGGTGATTATCCAAGAAATCATTGCCAAATCCAATGTCATAAAGCTTTTGTGCTATGTTCTCTTCTAAGAGTTTTGTTGTTTTTGCTTTTATATTTAGGTCTTTGATCCATTCTCAGTTAATTTTTGTACATATGTAAGGTAGAACTTCATTGTTTTGCATATGGATATCCAATTTTCCCAGCACCATGAGTTGAAAAGACTGTTCTTTCCCTATTGAATGGTCCTGGTACCCTTGTTGAAAACCAGTTGACTATGTATTTGTTAATATTTTTAAAATACAGGTTATCCAGATAATTAAGGAAAGTAATCTATTTGGCCACCTAACAGATTATGTAGCCCATTTGAGTTTATAAAACACTAGATAATTTGATTCTCATAACACTACATGAAGTCTAGAATCCCAGCCTTTACCGGAAACCCTTTAGGCCAATGGTTTTAGAACTCAGAAATGTTAGAACTTTAGAAAGGTAAATAATGCATAAAGTTACACAACAGAAGGGAACAACACTCTAAAATCAAAATATTAATGTTTCTGCACCAGAACTTATTAACACTAACTGAGATAAATTAAGATCTGTACATTGCCTCACTTCAAGTCTGGTTTTGCACTTAAATGGGCTTGTTACAGACTTAGGAAAAAACTTCAGATTTTCAGTCTTTTGGGACTTGGGAATTGCAGGTAAGTGATTGTGGACCTGTATTAGTATGGTTCCCATTTGTAGTTAAGGAATTGAACCCTCCGAGAAGTTGTCCTATATGAATAATAAGTGATTAAGCCAGGACTCCTTATTCGTTACCTTTACTCTGAAATCCAGTGCTTTTTTTTTCCTATTACACTATGCCGCACATTGCTTTGAATTATAGATTACTTTGATTATATATAATCTGAATTAAAATGTTGAGATAGTGTACAGTCACTTCTCTCTATTATTTTCGCGTAATAATTTGTTTGAGCTACTATTTGCAAGATACTGAGGAGATAAAAAGACATATGAGACCTAACTTCATGCTGCCACCACCCATCCTTTGTTCACCCTGATTTTACCTGGAATGCACACATAGCTCACCAAGGGTAGAAAGAACTTAATTAGGTTTGTGTGCTTCTGTTCTTTCAAATTTGGCCATGGAGATTGGTTCCAGTTCCTTTGTCACACCTTGGCTAAGCGAAGTGAATCCTCCTTGTTTACATAAGTTGTTTGTTACAAAAGAAATGTTTCTTAGATACTTAGACTTATATTTATGTTATGTTGATACTGGTTAAGACCTGAATGCTTTGAATGCACAGAGGTGTTTCTCACCACTTTGCCATGCGTTGTGGCAAGTTTTTCACCCCCAGTAGTCAGTTTTTAATTCTTTTGGAATCTTTCTAGTTCTGACTCCTCAAGTGCCATTGAAAAATAAAACCACTTTTGTCTTTTTGGAGTAATGGAGGCTCAGCTGTGCCTTTTTGTTTTGTTTTGTTTTTTTAAATTGAATGAGTTGGTTTAGAAAGTTCCCAAAGTCTAGGATTGTGCATCTACAGCGCCTCTTGCATTTCTGTTTTCTGAATGTGCAAACTATTTTGGCTAGGAAATTCCAGAGTAGAAGTGTCAGTGTTTCTACAAACAGCATTAAATGGTCCTTATAAACCAATGAAACTTTGATAGTTCTGATATGTCCTGGGAATTGGTCTTTCCAATACCTCCAAACTGTAGACATATTACACGCTTCATGCTTATTGCACACTTATTATTTGAGCGAGGATAGTCAATCAATGTTCTGGTTTGGATTAGGGTGTATCCAAACCTTAGCTTCATCTTCATGAAGCGAAAGGTTCCATTTGTATGATTTCTATAGGCCTCCTTGTAAACTCAAGTGGGAAGAGCTTTCAATTTGTAGTTTCAACTGACATAAGCCTAAAATTCAGCTCTACACGTAGCATCATGGCCACGTTAAATTGCTTAACCTTTTTGATTTTAATTTTCCTTACATATAAAACATGGAAATAATAGCTAATATATAAGACCATCAGTTAACTGAATGCTTGCCATGTGCCAGGCACCACTTTAAAATAACATTATCTGATTTTCCTCATTTCAGTGATAAGGAACCAGAGGCTGGGGATTTTAGGGGTGGAAGATTGTTAAAGAAATTGTGCCAGGCCAGGCACAATGGGTTATGCCTGTAATCCCAGCACTTTGGGAGGCCAAGACAGGCAGATCACCTGAGGTCAGGAGTTCGAGACCAGCCTGGCCAACATGGTGAAACCCCGTCTGTACTATAGTACAAAAACTAGCTGGGTGTGGTGTCGTGCACCTGTAATCCCAGCTGCTCTAGGGGCTGAGGTAGGAGAATTGCCTGAACCTGGGAGGTAGAAGTTGCAGTGCGCTGAGATTGCACCACTGCACTCCTGCCTGGACAACAGAGCAAGACTCTGCTTCCAAAAAAAAAGAACTTGCCCCAAAGTTCACACAACTAGAGGTGATTTGAACCCAGGTCTGTCTGACTTCAGGGCCTACTCAGCTGCCGCATAAATTAAATAGAACTTATAAATCGTATCATACAATGCTTGTACCCAGTGTAGTTAAAAATGTTAGTGTCCTTCCTCTTTACCTCTGATTTATTATAATATTCTTATTCAACAATGAATACATTAATTACTGTGAATATGGTATTATCCCCCTATCTAATTTGTATGAGACAATTCATATTCGTTGAACATCTACCATGGCAGGCACTGTGTCTGATCCTATTTAATTTTCGTCATAACACTATAAAAGCCTACTTATTTTACACTTGAGGAAACTGAGGTACAGACAGATAGAAGAGAAAGAGTTGAGATTCAATCCCAGGTTCTTTCCCTACTACTTATAATAATAAAAATGACAAAAACATTTGTTCTAAATGACGAATTATCTTACTTAATCTTTACAACAACCCTAAGATGTTGTTACCCTCCATCTGTACAGAGGAAAAAGCTGACAGGTTATGCAGTGAGCTAAGTTGATACAGCAATTGGTGCAGTAGAAATTTGAAATGCCTCTCATGACTTTTTTCCCCTTAGTAAGTTAAGTAACCACCTGATTAGAGTGGTGGGACTTAGAGGAAGCAACTGGAGATCCTGAAAGACTCCAAGCAGTAGCACTGAATTGAAGATAATTAAGTGTAAGTGCCAAAAGAAAAGGACAGCGATACTATGCAGATTTTTATGTTATAATTTTTTTTTGTTTTAGGTGCTGTTACACTACCAAACTGTCAGTGAACCCGCCGTTATTAAACGATTGATTAGTGTCTTAAACAAAAGCACGGGTGAAGTCACAAAGAAAAAGCCTAAGTGAGTGTTTTAATACAGAAATGATAAGCAATTTAAGCCAATTTTTTAATGATTAGCTCATTTGTGTAGTATTTCTCTTTGTGGTAAGTGAAACCCATTTTTACTTGTTCCAGAAATTATTTTTTTCAAGGACTAGATTAAAACAAACATAAAAACAAGCAAGTATTTAAGCTTTTGTTTAGATATGAATGCTAGATATAATTTCTGTTATGTGTGGTGGTGGAGGATGTGAATTATAAATAAACGTAAATATAAGCTTATATATGTATGTACATTTCAAGCCGTAGATACTGATGATGTGAAAATAAGGGCATTTCAAAAACCAGACCTACGTTTTAAAAAGTATGTCTGGACACTGGTTCCAAATTTCTACTGCGTGTTTAACTTTCTTGTCACCTCCTTAATAAGATCATTCCCTACGCTAAGCTAAGAAGAAAATAATCTACACACTCTGTAGTGCCTGCTCTTTTCCCATCTGGAAAGTTTTTTTTTTGGTTTTGTTTTTGTTTTTTGCTCATAGTCCACGTGGAGCCTTACGTTGAGGTGATCAGCATCCTGTTGGGCCTGCTGATTAGCATTAATGTCCAGGCCTAGGTGTGACACTTTCCCTTTGGCTAGGACAAGATTGGGATTTTTTAAGTACTTCCTCAGAAACTAAGTATGTAAATAAAAACAAAATACAAAACTGGAGATGAATGTTACAAAATAGATTTCTTGGCCGGGCATGGTGGCTCATGCCTGTAATCCTAGCACTTTGGGAGGCAGAGGCAGGCGGATCACCTGAGGTCTGGAGTTTGAGACCAGCTTGGCCAACATGATGAAACCCTGTCTATACTAAAAATACAAAAATTAGTTGTGTGTGGTGGCTCACAACTGTAATCCCAGCTACTCAGGAGTCTGAGGCAGGAGAATCCCTTGTACCCGGTGGGCGGAGGTTGCAGTGAGCGATGATCGCGCCAGTTCACTTCAGCCTGGGCAAAAGAGTGAAACTCCATCCCCCCCGAAAAAAAAAGAAAAAAAAGATTTCTTACCCTAATCCAAGTTAAGGCTAATTGCAATTTGGTTTGGCTGCTTTAGCTTTGGGGTTTCCCTTCCAACGTCTTTTCCAATAACATCCCAAGTCCCCTTTTTTCTGTCCTTGGTGTTCCTCATCTTTTACACCTGCAGAAGAGGCCAAATGTGGGTAGTGGGTTAATAGGCTGACTGCAAGTGGAAGAGGAAATCTTACATTGCTCTAAACCCTTGCCTGTTTCACTGTTAGGAGGAAGGGCTACTTTACCTCTCTTCTAAAGGTAGATCTTTATATTTAACCTGAGTCTTTAGCTTCTGGCATGAGTGTTTGCCATAATGTTCTGAGAAACACGATATAACTATACGACTAACATTTCTTGAGGGCCACTATTTTTTAGGTTGTATTGTGAATGCTTTCACATGATGTATATTCTTAGCAGTCCTGTGAAGCATCTAGCAAGTGACACAAAGCTCAAGTGATAGAGGCAGGATTCTAACCTGGTCAGTTGGTTTACATAGCTTACATTCTTTTGTTCAGGAGCCAGGTTGTTTGACCCAGACAATTGATACAGAATTTTCAGTCTGAAATTGGCTCATCATATATAATCCTGAGTCTTCCCCTCCATGCTTCTGCTACAAAATCCTAGCTCAATGATGGTAGAGTTTAACATATATTCTCATGTTTGTGTTCCCTGTCACCTTATTTGTAGCTTTATCCTTTTATTTTGCACAGCTGTTTGGCTTTTCCCTTTCATTCCTGTTCAGGTACGTTGTAGGCTCTTGATTATGCAGTATGGAATTTAATGTTTTAGAAACTAAATTAGGAACAAGCCATGTATGTATTAGATGCTCTCCTTCCTAAGGAATGAACTTAAGCCTGAAATTGTCCGAAACTGATATTTGGAATTTTTGGTGTATTTTTTTAGAACCTTCTTTTAGTCTGTCTGCCCCTGAACTAATCTTTCAAAAGGAGAGTTTATGATTTCTGTCCACTATACTTCTAGAGTACATCAAAATTAAATTAGAAAACAATTCCAAAATGTCCCTTTTTAGGTTCTGCCTCTCTCACTAAGTCTGAGCAGGACCTACCCTAGAGATTTTTTGTTTACTTATTTTTATGAAACCATTTACAGTCTGATCCATGCCCAGTCTTCCTTCATATTTTACAAGTATCATATTGTGGAAAAGCTACTTATGTGATTTTTGTCCTGAACTCTGCTAAGGAACTATTATTCCTGTGTGGGGAAACAGAGAGATTGCTTGCTTGATTGAGGGTAATCTTAGCAACAGCAGATTGATTGTCCTCTTTACAGATAACTTCCTAATACATATTCTCCAAATTACAGTTTTACTAGGAAAGACATAGGGCATTATATTCCGCTTTGCAAATACTTTTTTCATAGAAATAAGCCTTAGTATAATTTTCTTTATTAGATAATTGAACTCACTTTCTTGAGGGAATGAAAGAAAAAGCATTTCTTTCATGAGGAGGGGCCCTAAGCATTTTAGGCTATGGTGGTCCTGTAAGGGATAGAGTTATATTTGGAAGACTGGTAAAAATGAACTACCTAATGTTTCTTAAATCTAGAATTACTCCTCATTTCTTTCAACTAAAGCAGAAAGTCCAAAGACATATATTTTTATTTAAAAAATATTTTTCTTGGTTTTGAAAGACACAGTTGATATGTTGGTTAAATGTGAAATATTTGTTTTTCAGGTTGTCATTATTACGTTTATTCACGTCTATCATATATTCATTTGTTCTTTTTTTTGTCTGAATAGGTTTTTGACTAAAGGCCAGAATGCATTGGTAGAGCTGCAGACACAAAGACCAATAGCTCTTGAGCTGTATAAAGACTTTAAAGAGCTGGGGAGGTTCATGCTACGTTACGGTGGTTCTACAATAGCTGCTGGTGTTGTCACTGAGGTATTTTAAAGTGACTCATTATATATCCATAGTTATGATGCCTTTTCTTTTTTACCTTTTAGGAATGAAAAGAAAGCATTGAGGGAATGAAAGAAGAAGCATTGATGAGGAGAGGCCTTACGCATTTTAGGTTGTAGTGGTCCTTTAAGGGATAGAGTTATATTTGAAGATTGGTAAAATCTTCAATGAGATTTTATGGCTTAAAGGAAACACAGCTATGCTATTAGAATAAGAAATTAGAATTTATATTAAATTCTAATTGCTGGAGAAAATAGCCAGAAATGAACCAGAAAATTTCAGTGATTTAATTTCTTCTACATTATCATAATTAATATGAATCTTATGAATTTTAAAGGGTAATTCATTACTCCACATGATTGTTTTCTGCCTAAAACTAGTTCATTTAATTGGATATAACATACTCTTTAAATTGCATCCGAAGTGAGTTACACATATCATGAAAGGTCTTTCTTTTAAGTTGCTAAAGCACCAAGAAACTCTATATACATCATTTAAGTAAAATGCATATGGAAGGCGGTGTGGGGTGGAGGTGAAGAAAACAGCTTTCAGAGTTACACTACCCGTTTGTGTTCTTGCTCCACCAACTTTTAGCAGCATAAATGCATTTCTTCTTCAATTTACCTCCTTCAGTATAAAAATAGGATAATAGAATCTACCTCCTAGAGTTGTTGCGAAATGAAATGATAACGTGCAAAGAACTCGGCACAGCAGTCGGCACATATGAAGCATCCAATATGGTAGCTGATGTCATCAACATCACATTTAATCTATCAAGGCATTCTTTCTAAAAGAGCATTCTAAAAATAAGATAGAGTTGTTTGTGGAGAATAATGGAGAGAGTATAGTAAATTGCAGAAATAGCATGACTAGGAAAGGAAGAAAGTTGCAGAACAAATAAAAAGATTTTCTCTTGATATAATAATTCTTTCACTGTAATTTTCCCGTTGTTGTTCTTATAATGTGATTGATTAAATGATAGCAAATGTCTTTTTTTTTTTTGCTTTAACAGATAAAAGAATGATGGGTCAGAATTTCTGCCGTGTTTCCGGATACAGTGAAATAGCTAACCTCTGTTTCAAAGAATCCAGTCATTAAGTCAAAGGAACAATGTGCAATTGATATTTTTTTTAGATGAGAGGAAAAATTAAAGCTAAAATTAGCTGCAAAGAAGTATTAATAATCACCTCTGCAAAAATTATAAGTTGCCAACTGGCAAAGAAAGGCTAATGTTAAAAACAACTTTCCCTTTGAAATGTTAGTAAATGGATTTACTTCGCTGAGATTTATGGCAAGTGTCAAAAATAGTATCCGAAGATACTGAATCATCATGAAATGAACTCTACTTCTGGCCAAAGCACAAAGTATTTGCAGTTTTCTCTTTTGATTCAATTATACTGCACATGTTTTAAGGAAAAGTAACTTAACTGGGTTTTTCAGGCAGTTGATATTTGACCTAAGCTTTTTTTTTTTCCCGGTTAACGCTAAGAAAAGATTTGGGAAAGGTTATAATAAAGGTATTTTGTGGTGACCATAAGAATGTCCCTCCCCAAACAAGTAAACTTGTGAAAGTTTAATTTGGAATTAGTGGAAGCTGTTCCTTTGAAAGCCAAGATATTATTTAAGTTGTAAAGCCAGCTAATAAAATGCCTTAGTGTGAGCATAATACAAACTGTGTTTTGTTCTTCAGACATTTATGAGATTCTCTAGACATTTATGAGATTCTCTGCCACTAACATTAAATATGATTTAGGGGTTTTGTGGGATCTTTTCCACCTAAGAGTTTCCTAGTTCTGTCACATGAATTATTTTTTATCCTAATGGCAGATCCAATTTCATCTCATCCATTTTTTTAACCATAACTTGCTTTTCCTATTCTCACTTTTAGAATTACACCTATGATGGCTCTGTCTTTATCTTGCTTGCCTTATAAATTATAAGTCCCCTGTGAGTAAGTAAGAGTCGTATTTTTCTTTAAGGTTTCAACAACAAACCCCAAAGTTTACTTATTTAAAAACAGGTATTCGTTGAGGTGCCTCCTGGGTGCAAGGAGCTTTAGAGTAGATTTTGACCTCAGCTGGACCTGGAACTCTGATCTAATAGACTATTTATGATAAGCCTTTTTTTTTTTTTTTTAATTAGAAAGCAGTGTGATTTGTATATTGATGGCTTAACATATACAACAGCATTTCTTTTCCCCGCCCCTTTTCATGAACCTGACATTTTGAACATAAGCAATAACATCCATATGGTAAAGTAGGCAGATTATACATGTGCTGCTTATTGGATGATTACCAAGTGAACACACTTGGTATATTTCTTTACCAAAATACATGTGTAGTTGTCACTTCAGAGTAAATTCACTGAGTTAAGAAACTTTTATTTATATATTAATATTAATCAGGAATTTAACAGATACATGTGACAGAAATCTAACTTCAAGTGACTTAAGCAGCAAAGAAAAATTTTTGAATGACATAACTGAGAAAATTAGAGGTAGCTCTAGCTTTGGTTCAGTTTAAATCGAGCAGCTCACCCAATGTTAGCAAGGACTCATCTCCACTCTGCCTTCCTTAGTGCTGGTTTTGCCCTCAAACTCTATACAGAACTCTTAGCCCAGCACGGTGGCTCACACCTGTAATCAAAACACTTTGGGAGGCTGGGTTGGGAGGATAGCTTGAGCCCAGGAGTTTGAGACCAGCTGAGGCGATATAGTGAGACCTTGTCTCTACAGAAAAAATTTAAAAACAGATCAGCTGGGTGTGGTGCCACATGCCTGTAGTCCCAGCTACTCAGCAGGCTGGGGTGGGAAGATCACTTGAGCCCATGAGGTCAAAGCTGCAGTGAGCCATGATCGCATCACTGCAGTCCAGCCTGGGCAGCAGAGCAAGACCTTGTCTTCAACAAATAAAAAACCTCTCCTGTAATGCCAGGTTCTTGACAGGATGTGAAAATTCCACACTTACATCCTCAGATCTTCCATCCAGGGCAAGGACAGACTAAAAGAGCATATATTTTCCAGAAATCCTAGAAACATCTCATCATTGACTCTGATTGAATTTTATTTATTAATACTTCCCTAGGATATCCTGTGTTTGAGTGTGAAGTAAGTATCACACAAAGCATATAGCTAACAGTTGTGGGAGGATTGGAAATTCAGGGTGCTGTTAGGAAGGGGAAATGGATTGGGGTTTAAGGTAGGGGGAGTAAAAACAAGAAACCATCCACTCTGTATATTATATAAGACCATGATGGAATTAAGAATTTTAGTTTACAATTTAGCATAAACAAATAGTAGTAGTAGAAATTAATGCATTTATTCATTCCTTCTCCAATAGTGTTTAAGTACAATCTTTTTTTTTTTTTTTTGCATTTTATTGATTGATTGTGGTTGAAGGGAGTGGTGATATTATTTCGAGGATTCACTGTGTGAGAACACTGTTGGTAGTAGAAGACTTGAGTTAATTAAGTGACAAAGAGGTAGAGCAGGCACGCCCAAACTTGTTTATGCTCTGATTTCCTCACCCTGTTACTTTCATCCATAATTTATAGTACATTCATTTTGTGTCATTTTGCTTCAGGTATTTCTTGTCCTGACTCTTCTTTTTTATGATTTTACTGTTTCTTCACACTAATGGCTTTGTCCTCTGACTTTGACTCTTTGTGAGATTCTACTGAGCAGTTAACCTCTAGGATAATGTGGCTTGAACACATTACAAAACCGTTTTTTGACTTGTTAGTAGTATTCACACATTCATGACATTTGAGCCTCTCTACTGTGAGAAATGTTTTAGAGACCAGTTTCTAGGCATAGCTGTTTTTCTCCTGTGAGTATGGAAATCAATACTTTTAACCGTTGTTAAAATGCAATCATAGTGACTTCAGAAAATTTGGAAAATACAGAGAAGAGTAAAATTAACCCACAGTTCTATCACCTAAAGGTAGCTGCTGCCAATGTTTTCATGTATTTCTTTTGTGTCTCTCCAATGCATTTTTTTACATAGTTGTGAGCGTTAGCCAAGTTATTTTCATTTTATGTAATCAATAGAATTATTAGAGGTATTTTTTATTGATATAAAAATAACAATTACAGATCCTGATGTGCAGAAATTAGTCAAAATTATACAGTTTCCAAAAAATCAAGACAAGTAGGCCCAGTACAAACTACTTAATCGTCTTCTAATTTCCCTCTAAAATAGTTATAGAAATGCATAAGAGAAAAACATTCATCCTTTCCTCATCTAATTATGAGCCTGCCATATTCCAGGCACAAGAGAAAGCTGTCCGGCTTGAGTCTTAATAGGGCTGATAGTCCAACCAGGGGACAGGGTATCAGAGAGAGATAATTCGAAACTTTACGATTGGGGAGTAGGTGATGGTAGAAAATTCTGCAGCAAACATCTGTTGATGCTCATCATTTGTTGATGTCATCAAAGATCACCAGGGCATAATTGTAATCAAAATTAGTTTTTATTGATGCTTGCTGCAGCAAGAGAGACTGCACACCACTGGGGTCTATAGGTGCTTCTCCGTGGGAAGGTGTAAGGAGGGGCTTGCTAAGAATTTGAGCACATGTAGCTAATTTTAAGGAGGGCTGAAGCAAGCACGGGTTTCTTCTGGATTGAGTGAGTGCTGTCAGAAAGTGGGAGTGATTTTGCAATTGGGTATCTTAATTTTTGTGTTGTGGATGGGAGGAAAGGAAAGAAGCAACAGTCATCCATGTTAGCCACAAGAAGAGGTTGGCTATTTATGGTTTGCATAGTGACTTTGTTTTTGTCTGTGCTCAGGCATGATTACAGTATCTCATTTTATCCGGATTACGGTGACCTCATCTGATGTTAGAGATTTGAGAATTGTTAAATGTTCAGCAGGAGAACACCACCACATAGTGTGAATGCTAGGTCAGAAGCTGCTTTTTCACACCAAAACCATTTAAGTATGTACAAGTAAGTTAATAGTGTAAATGTAGATGTAAAATACAATGCAAAACAAAATAATGAAGTAAGTGAATTAAATTATTGTGCCAAATATGGGGATATGAAATAGGGAAAGAAAAGCATTAAATTACTTATAGTCCATAAAGGGACTACATTATTTTGTTATTCTGATAATCCCATAAAACAAAGTTTTAAGAATGTTTACAGTAACCACGAGTGGAATTAGTGAAACTATTCATATCAATGCAAAAAAAAAAAAAAAAAAAAAAAGGCAAAGAAACTAAGTCTGTACAGCAAAAGATGGAAAGGAAACAAGAAAATTAAATGAAGACAAAGGTTGTGATCATTACAATAAATGAAAATAGGTTTTTATCTTTAAAATGTAGACTCAAACTGCAAAGCTAATGATATGCCATCTACAAAATATTCCTATTTTGTAAATAACACTATAGATTTAAAGAAGAAAGGGCACAGATGTACTGGGGAGACAAAAATAACTGTGATCTGTTGGATGTCTACCATGTGCCAAGCAATTTTCATATACTCACTAATATGACATATCTATAATTATATGAGGTAGGTATTATTAACCTCAGTTGACAGATAAGAAGACTAAAGCCCAGAGGGATTACTAAAAACTAGTAAATAAATTATGGAAACATGATTTGAATTTAGATTTAAGTCTGACTGAGGCATGTTCAAAGACACTACACTGCCTCTCCAGAAATCAGGAGTAGCAATATTAACACTGGACTAAGAATTTAAAGCAAGTAAAAAGAAAATTAAGGTAAGAGAATTTCATATTAATAACAAGTATAATGCACAAGCTGTACCAAATGACATAAAAATGCATAATGAAATTTAGACATTAAAAATTAAAGGACATAATTACAATTATTGAGGAATTCTCATAGCTCTGCCTTATAGATAATGTAAACAAACAAGGTCATAGAGGACTTAAACAGCAAAGCAGAAAAAATGAACATATGTAAAAAGAGAATGTACTGTTACAAGTTTCCTTCAAGAATTGGATAATGAGCAGTGATAACACTGCTCTTGAAGAGTTACGTTATAAAGTGAACTCAGTGGATCAGACTATAGATATGGGAGTTGTCTTTTAGGTTTGGAATCATTTAAATGGACTACAGATATTGGAATTACTGGTTACAGAATATAAAATAGCTGGCTAAAATATTTAAATATTTAATATTTCCTTATAAGAGGTGAGTAAAAAAGAGACTATAAAATGACCATATGTGTTTTAAAATCAAACATAATGTTTAAGTGTGAAATATATAATTGAAACTAAAAACTGTTTGAATTAAACAGATTAGATACAGCCAAAGAAAGAATTAGTAGCTGGAAGCATAGATCAGAGAATTTACCCACAATAAGATAAAGACGAATAAGTTCATGTGGAATGGAGACTAGAATGAGAAGGTATATATTATATAAAATTAAAGTTTTAGAAAGTGGGAATACAGAGAATGGATGTACAATATCAAAAAATAGAGCTGTAAAATTTTCCAGAATTGATGGAAGACGTGAATTCACAAAGAGAAGCAATACAACATATTTCAAGGATGGTAAATAAAAAGAAATCCACTTTTAAGTACATTTTAGTGAAACTGCGGAATACTGAAGACAAAGATTCTAAAATTGGTCATAGAGAAAAGTCAAATCTACAAAGGAACAGGAATTAACAACGAAATGGAAAACAAAAATAGCAAGATATCTGCAAAGAGTTAAAGAAGGTCTGTGCCATTCATAAGAGGGCTTAGTTATCCATGGAATCTTGAGAAAGGTTCACAGCAACAAATGCTATTCATTCAAAGCTCTGTCTCTCAGTCTGTTCCAACTGCTATAGCAAAATACCCTAAATTACCCAGGTAATTTATAATAACAGCCATTTATGTCTTAACATTCTAGAGGCTGGGAAGTCTAAGATCAAGACACCAACAGATGTGGTATCTGGTGAGGGCTCTCTGCTTCAAACATGACATCTCTTGCTGTGTCCTCACATGGCAGAAGGAACAAACCGTGTTTGCATGAGGCAGAAGAGCTGAAGGGACAAACTTGCTCCCTTAAGTGCTTTTATAAGGACACTAATCTCATGCATGAGGATGGAGCCCTCATGGCCCAATCTTGTAATTAAAAGGCCTCAACTCTTAATACTGTTACATTGGGAATTAAATTTCATCAGGAATTTTGCAAGGCCATAAATATTCAAATGATTGCACTCTGTCCAGAAAGGAAAGACTCCCTGGCTGCCTTGGCCAGGCCAGGCCCAGTTAGGAGATAAATACATAACTCTGAGCTAGATTCAAATACTGTTGAATTTTGATTTGTCTGATGTCTCTTCTGGTTCCTTGTTGTTCCTTTAACTTTTACTGAGCTGCATAAGTTCTGCTGAAGGTAAGAATAAATGTGCTGAAGTTTGATTGTTTGGCAATTCAAGTAGTTTAATTAGAGGAAGGGAATGTGCCAGGAATGAGGACACAAGAATCTGGGGGTTTTCTGATATACTTCTCATAGTGTATAAATAAATTGGAATTTGGGTGTTAAATATTAACCTCTTGAGTTTAGTTAAACGAGCCTATTCTCAGTATATTGACAAATTCAGATCCCAGAGCCTATAAGCCAGATATCAAACCATGGTAATTTAAGCGAAATACTGTTGATGCCCCGAGAGCCTCCTGCATGACAGCATACTGACATTTTCATCTGAGGAGTTTTACTTGTGGCCTGACTTATTTCCTTAAACACCTTCTAAAATGTTCATTTACAAAAATTGAATAAAGTATTCTTAGTGATGAAGAAAACCCCAGGTTATCAAAAGCATAATATTCAAATGTTCTGTATATTAAAATGAGTTTTTAGAAATACTTTAGTCATGGGACGTATAAAAGACACTCTTCTAAATAACCTAATGAAGAAAATTTAAGATTATTTTCAAAAATGAAAGTGAGACTACTTATTAAAGCTTCAGATAGCTTTATACTGATGATAGTTTTCTCTTTGTTTTGGCTGCCAGGAGGCTGGCAGCCAAATTTGAGGCCCCAAACTGTACAGGATCTTAGGCATTTTGTAAACTACCCATATCCCTGGCTTTATCTTGTTTGTGAGCACTTTTTCATTCTTCCTAATATTTTCTCCACCCCCAACCTATTATAATGTATGTGTTTTTATTTCTGTAAGTCATCCCAAATCATTTGTGGAATACAAAGTAATAGAAATAAATCAGCAAAGTAAAAATTTTTAAAAATGTGTATAACACATATACCTATGTATTACATGTGTATACAACAAATGTATTTTACATATATGCATGTGTATATGTGTATATATTTGTATGTAATGGAAAGAAAGCAGTATATCCTTAAATATTTTTTACTATAGGCCTATGGGAAAACTAACTTAAGAAACATTTAACTAAAAACCTAGAAAAGAAACAGAATGACTGTCCTTAGGAAATATACCCATGAGTCCATACCAATATGAATAAATGATTGAATAAATAAAAGGAGATTGAATAAATAAGAAAGGGGAAATGAAGAGACAAATCTCCCTTGTAAAAGCATTTCAAATAATTTATGTAGATACTTCACCTTCATGGAGGTAGAACATAACACTCCACTCCTCATGTGTGGGGCTGAGCCTAGTGACTTCTTTCCAAAGAGTACGGTATGGAAAAAGCAGTGAAAAGAATTTTATAATGGAAAAACCTGACAAGTACTTCTTCAGCCAGGTGATCAAGGTTAACATCAAGAGTGATGTCATGTTGATTATACATACCAAAACATATGTATGTATAATAATGTGAAGATGGCACTTTTTCTCTTTGTTCTTCCTCCTAAAAACTCACAACACCTCTCTAATCATGATAAAAACATCAGGCAAATTTTAATAGAGGAGCATCCTACAAAATTCTTGGCCAATACTCATTAAAACTGTGAAGGTCATAAAACATTAAGAAAAATCTGAGAAACTCATTGCCATGAGGACGTAAGGAGACATAAGCAAGTGTAATGTGGTGTCATGAGTGGGATCCTGTACCAAAGACATTAGGTAAAAGCTAAGGAAATATCAATAAATTATGGATTTTAGTTAAGAATGTATCACTACTGGTTCCGTAATTGTGGCAAATGTATTATTCTAGTATAAGATGTTCATATTGGGGGGAAACTGGCTGCAGTATTTCTATAAATATAAAACTGTTCTAAATAATAAAGTCTTTAAATTTTTGTTATATAGTATTTAATACAAGTGAAAGAACATTTGTAATTAATATATAGATTAAAACAATTAAGAAAACCCCATAAACTCTTCCCTCTACTAATGATTAGAACATTAGCAATAAGTGCCATCGAAGCTATCCTAATATATCACAGCCTTTCCCCAGCCCTGACATTTCCCTTCTTTAAAAAAAAATTTTTTGCCGGGCGCGGTGGCTCACGCCTGTAATCCCAGCACTTTGGAAGGCCGAGGCGGGCGGATCACAAGGTCAGGAGATCGAGACCATGGTGAAACCCCGTCTCTACTAAAAAAAATAGAAAAAAATTAGCCGGGCGCAGTGGCGGGCGCCTGTAGTCCCAGCTACTCGGGAGGCTGAGGCCGGAGAATGGCGTGAACCCGGGAGGCGGAGCTTGCAGTGAGCCGAGATTGCGCCACTGCACTCCAGCCTGGGTGACAGAGCGAGACTCCGTCTCAAAAAAAAAAAAAAAAAAAAAATTTTTATGGGATATTAATAATATGTTCATGATATGAGGTAAGAATCCACTTCCTTTTCTGTTATGAATATTTTGGAAAATATTTCAAACAAATGAAAAGTTCCAAGTCCAATAGAAACAATTTTTTTCCTAAACCATGTTGCCACATGATGTCCCATCACTACTGAATTGAATATCTGTTTCCTACAAAGTATTCTCCAGAGGTTGGGTGCGGTGGCTCACACCTATAATCCCAGCACTTTGGGAGGCCAAGACCAGGAGAATACTTGAGCCAGGAGTTCAAGACCAGCCTGGGCAACATAGTGAGACCCCATCTCTACAAAAAATAATAAAAAAATAGCCAGTCATGGTAGTGCATGCCTGTAATTCCAGCTACTTGGGAGGCTGGGGTGGGAGGATTGCCTGATACCAGGAGGTGGAGGCTGTAGTGAGCCATGTTCATGCCACTGCATTCCAGCCTGGGTGACAGAGTGAGACTATATCATCTATCTGTCTTTCTATCTATCTGTCTATCTATATCTATCTAGCTAGCTCTATCTTCTGCACAACCACAATAATAATAATCAGATTGAGAAATTAATGTGTGTAGATCACAGCTGTTCAACTAGCCTCTATTAACATTTCACCAATTGAAACAAAAATGTCTCTAACCCCACTTTGTTCCTGATGTAGGGAGGGCAAGGCTATTCTCTGACTTGTCTTGGAGCCCTGCTGTCTAGGGGTTAGGGAAATCCCACACTCAGCCCCCACTCCCACCACCATAGTTCTTCAGTGGATGGAGAATTGTTGAGAACATGACCTTCACTTTTCTGGCTCGGCATCCAGCACAGGGTCTCACTGTTACCCAGGCTGGAGTGCAGTGAGCAATGATTGTGCTACTGCACGATCACGGTTCACAGCAACCTTGACCGCCTGGAGCTCAAGTGATCCACCTCAGCCTCCCAAGTAGCTGGGACTACAAGCATGCACCACCACACCCGGCTAATTTTTTTCTATTTTTTTGTAGAGATAGGGGTCTCACTCTGTTGCCTGGGCTGGTCTCAAACTCCTGGGCTCAAGTGATCCTTCCACCTCGGGCCTCCCAAAGTCCTAGGATTATAGACGTGAGCCATCATGCCCGGCATTAAAGAATCCACTTCAAGATACAGAGCCTTTTTCTGAAAGATCCCTGTTTGTGTTGCCTGTTAATCCTACATGCCATAGAGAATTTTTATCTCCACTTTGTTGTTATTCCTGGCACCTTAACAGAATGTCAATGTAGATTTCTGGATACCTATTCTGCCTAATGCTGATCCTTGTTCAGCTATATACTGTGCAAGTCTTTGCATCTGTCCTTTGTTCTTGATCCCTGAATGAAAGTCTAGGCAACCAGGGCTTCCTCCCAGGGTGAACAAATAAGCAGTGAGATCCCTGGCCTCATTCCTGGTTAATTGTATACATGGCCCGAGAAGCCCATGTTAGAAGCCCTGCACCTCTTCTAGATATGCCTGAAAACATCTTGTTAAATCTCCTGGATGATAAGAAGTGGTCCCTGGCCAAGTAAAATCCTTCCTGTGAAAATCAATTCCTAAAAAGCTTTCCCTTGGTGAACTGGATCTGACCACAGAGTTAGGAAGCCTGGAGGATCTGCCGCTGCATGGGAGTTGAGAGTGAGGGAGTCTCATATCTTAGTACATTTTGAAAAGAAAAACAATGCCAGTCACACCCATTTTAAGGTATTGTGGGTCAGAATCATTTCTGAAGTCTACTTTGCTGAGCAGTTTTTTCCACTTAGTATATTTGGTGTAAGATATTATTTTCTCTGATTATCCTTGGCCATTTGGCCCAGAAAAACTGCATCTTAATTGATCCTAATGTCTGATCCTCCCCAAGTGTCCAGTCACAAATATCAATCAAGGTACTGTGGAGTCAGATGGTAGCTGCTTCCACAGCTTGTGGCCTTTGTAATATCAATTCGCCACCCCTTACCTAGGTTTAAGTTTTGACATCTTAGCACTGTTTCCATACCGGAGAAGCTGTACACCTTCGCCCTGGAGGCTCCTACTTTCCCTCCACTGACCACAGCTTTAAGTCTTGCCTCTGAGCTGGGCACTGGACTTTCACCTCCTTGGTTAGGGAAGTAGGCTAGGGTTGCATCATTAACATGGTATGTAACACCTGTCAGGCCCCACGCATTTGACCATGCCCTTTTCTTTGAGGAAAAGAGCTGTGTCTCCTCACAGAGGGCTCTATTCCTGTCTAGATATGGGATCATTGCCCAGGGACTGCTATCTGCAACACAAAGAGCATCAATGAGAAATTTTGAAATTTTAGCCAACTAAAGTTACATGCCTGCTAACCAGGGTAGGCTTGTTTATGCTGTGATTGGTTAGAAATTGGTGCCCAAATACAGTGGCATGGGAAAACACATGTTTATTTCATGCTAATTATCACCACATGATAGAACTGTACTCCGTAGAGTGACTTAGTCCAGGCTGACAGAGGTTCTCCATCCTGTACCTGCCACCGGGAACACACAGCCTTCCTAGTCTACAGGGAAGTGGGAGAGACAGTGGACAGTCCCCAGAAGGCTTGGCTTTTACTCAAAGACCCTGGCCAGAACTATCCAAACGGCCCCGCCTCATTGCAAAGGGGCTGAGGAGTACTCAGGAGGAGAATTGTATGTTAGAGAACGTTAGGGGTGGCCACCACAGGGGGCACCTGGCATTTTCCCCAAAATGACTGAGTTTAATATAAGCATATGTGTTAAGGTCTTATCTGTTCACACTTGAAACAGAATCCCATATACATACTTCTTGAATTTCTCTCTTATACATTGTTCCTCTCCTCACCCAGTTTTTCTAGCCTTCAGCTGTATCTCTTGGGGGATCCTGCAACCATCATCCCAAGACAGTGGTCCCATTCTGAGCGCTGACCTTGGAGGGCAAGGACATGTCCCCAAATTCTTGAGTGGAGCACATGCAACCGAAGAAACCTCTAGTGTTTCATTTTGATAACCTTGCATAGGATAATTCTGATGTGTGATTGTGCACAATATTTCCTCCTAGTAGTGAGGCTAAGAAGATTGGGGTTTGGGGGTGGCAAATGGGCAAGAGAACAGCATCCTGCCACATATAAGTGAGGGTAGTTATTCCAATAACAATAGCACTTTCATTTTAATTCATTCTATGTAACGTTTTCAGTAGGAGAGAAGGATTATAGAGGAGAGGACAGAGGCCAGAGAGCCAGGGAAGATTCTTTTAAATGTTTGTTTATTATATTATTTTATGTGATATTATATTGAAGAGGCCGAAAGTGCCAGGAGAGAGGAGAAGAATGAAAAGTTAGATGATAATCCAGTGAGCAAGGTTCTTGTGGAGACAGAAGGAAAATGGTGCCCCAAAACAGGTATTTATTTGGCCTGGAATTACTGTCTGGTCTTTTAACTTCCTCCCCATGCTTCTGTATCCATGCTCCCCTATCCTTCTCCAAAGCCTCACCTCTGATGGCTTCATTTCACTGTCTGGGCACTCTCCGTTCCCCATTCTGTGTTTCTCCTGAGTCTAGCGTACCCCTCCCAGCTGCCTCATGCTGCCATGCTGTGATTTTTGTTTACCACTGTTGGTAGTTCAGAACTACAGTATACCTGGGGCCCCCTATATCAAGACTGCCTCTCCCCTTTTAAAGAGAATAACTTTTGTTCTATTAGATAAAACCACCTTATTCTCTTTTGTAATATTCTAGAGCAACTAGCTCTCTTAGAATATTAGTATACTTAATACCTCCCATTTATAATTTTTTCTCAGTGCACTCAAGGTCTTGAGTCCCTTGTCCTCACTGTGCAGGACCTGGCAGTGAATCCACCCCTTGGGATGTGGTGGTAGGTAGATTCTGTTACCGCAAATGGGAGTACACTTCCCCCATGGGTCAGAATGGTGTTACAGGGATGTGGTAAGAACAAATCTGCATTCAGCAGGACACAGTGGCCAGCAGATGGAGCCAGCCAGAAGAATTCAGGAGCAGGTGATAACCCACACGTCCGGTGAAGCAGGTGGAAGTACCTGGAAGTAGGTTCTCAGCCACTAGGCCCAGATATAGGATTTCATGTCTCTTCAAGGGAAACTGACAGGAGAAACATCTGTGCCAAGCTTAGAGAGAAGGCCTTGAGGGCATGTCAGAGCTCAGGTATCGGGACTGGGGTCAACGGACATGGTCAGACTCTGAGTGAGGCCCATGCTTTGTCCTCCAGAGTGAAAGTCTCTCTCAGCTCAGCTGAGCTCTGGTTCCAGAGTCATCTCTGTGGTTGACCTGCAGGTGGGGATCAAGTGGTTGCACTGCGGACAGAAAAGGGCTGACAGGACAGAGGGGAAGGGAGGGAAGGCCCAGCACATTATGAAAACCCAGCGAGGCTGGGCGCGGTGGCTCAGGCCTGTAATCCCAGCACTTTGGGAGGCCGAGGAGGGCGGATCACTTGGGGTCAGGAGTTTGAGACCAGCCTGATCAACAGAGTGAAACCCCATCTCTACTAAAAATACAAAATTAGCCGGGCATGGTGGCATGCGCCTGTAATCCCAGCTACTCAGGAGGCTGAGGTGGGAGAATCACTTAAACCCAGGAAGTGGAGGTTGCTGTGAGCTGAGATCATGCCATTGCACTCCAGCCTGGGCAACAAGAGCAAAACGGTCTCAAAAAAAGAAAGAAACAAAGAAAAACCAGCGAAGGCCCAGCTTGAGCAGCCAATGGCACAAGGACGCCACTGTAACTGACAGACACGCCTGCTCTGCCGCTGGGCCTGATCAGAACCTGGAGTTCTGATCAGTACCAGGCACTATTTTGAAGCACCGTGTCTGGTTTCCGTCCTCTTTTGCTGTCACGTGGCAGAAAATTCCTCTCTCATGCCATCCTTGGAAAAGTCCTTTCTTCAAAAAGATCTCCCTTTCATAGTCCTCCCATTAGAATCCTTTGCACTCTGTACAAAAAGACAAACATTCTGATAAGTCCATCAATTAGGCAGAGTTGTTGGAGACCCAAGGAGATGGGCTACAGAAGTCTTTATACACACACCGGGTGGTACTCACTGTCTCTCAGCACCAAATTCACTTACTGGTACTTTGCTCTGTGGTGCCAGGGCTGGGAGCTGTGTATTTCTCGCATTCTGTCTCCAGCTGACCTTCTGACCATGGGCAGCACCAGTAAGAGCCTGAGACTACCTTCTGTCTCCAGTGCCTGTCAGCGACTCTCCGGCGACAGGCAACGGCGCCAGCTCCAGACTCCAACTGCTCTGGGCCTCCCAGCATCAGCCACACCATGCCCTTCAGAAGTCCCAGCACCGGACGGGCACAGTGGCTCACACCTGTAATCCTAGCACTTTGGGAGGCTGAGGCGGGTGGATTGCCTGAGCTCAGGAACTCGAGACCAGTCTGGGCAACATGGTGAAATCCCGTCTACACTAAAATACAAAAAATTAGCCGGGCATGGCAGCGTGCGCCTGTAATCCCAGCTACTCAGGAGGCTGAGACAGGAGAATCGCTTGAACCTGGGAGGCGGAGGTTGCAGTGAGCTGAGATGGAGCCACTGCACTTCAGCCTGGGCGACAGAGCAAGACTCCATCTCAAAAAAAAAGTCCCAACACCAGCTGGGGCAGAGGGCGGGGGGGGCGGGGGGGGGCGGTCCCCTGAAAGTTTCTGGTTTCTCGTAGCCCACCTCTTCCTTTTTGTCTTCCAGTTTAAAGAATGGCAGCTGCTTTTTGTGGTTGGTTGCTAATCTCTGGGTTATCTCAGCAGCCCTTACATGCTGTTTCAGCTTCGTCTGGGTAAACATTTCCTGGTATTAATTTTGACAAACCTGCCATGCTTTCCGTTTTCTGAATGGACCCTAATGTATAGATGATTGTATTTATTTACCCATATATGTATTTATAGTTATACTTGTTTCATTATGGGAATACATTCTGAGAAATGTGACATTAATTGATTTTATGGTTGTGCAAAACTTTTAGCTTGTACTTACCCCAAGATGGTGCAGCCTACTATACACTTAGGCTAAATGGGATAGCCTATTGCTTCTAGGCTACAAACCTGTACAGCACGTTACTGTCCTGAATACCATAGGCAATTGTAACACAATGGTAAGTATTTGTGTATCTAAACAGAAAAATACATAACAAATAAAGTATAAAAGATAAAAAATGGTACACCTGTGTAGGCCACTTATCCATGGAATTTGTTCTGGGTGAGTCAGTGAGTGAATGGTGAGTGAATGTGAAGGCCTAGGACAGTACTGGACAATATACTGTACACTTAGGCTGCACTAAAGTTATGAGCAAATACTTTCTTCGATAATAAATTAACCTTAGCTCACTGTAACTTTCCTACTTTATGAACTTTTCCATTTATAAAATACTTTTTGACTCTTTGTAATAATAGCTTAAAACACATGCATTGTACAGCTGTATAAATATATTTTCTTTATATCCCCTTTTCCATAAGCTTTTTTCTATTTTTACATTTTTTACTTTAAAATTTTACTTTTCAATTTGTTTGTTAAAAATGAAGACACAAACACATTATCCTAGGTCTATACAGGGTCCGGATCATCAATACTTTCCACCTCCACATCTTGTCCCACTGGAAGGTCTTCAGAGGCAGTCATATGCATGAAGCTGCCATCTCCTCAGATAGCAATACCTTCGTCTGGAAAATCTCCTGAAGCACCTGAGGTTTTTTTACAGTTAACTTTTTTTTTTTTTAATAAGTAGAAAGAATATACACTAAAATAATGATAAAAGTACAGACAGTAAATACATAAACCACTAACAGTCATTTATTATCATTATCAAGTATTAGGTACTGCACATAATTGTATGTGGTAGATTTTTACACAAGTGGCAGTGCAGTGGGTTTGTTTACATCAGCATCACCACAAATGTGGGTAATGCCTCTCACTATGACATTACGATGGCTATGATGTCACTAGGCAATAGGAACTTTTTAGCTCCATTATAATTTTATGGGACCTTCGTTGTATATAGGGTCTGTCGTTCACTGAAATGTTGTTATGTGGTGATAACTGTATTTATATATATGTGACCAGTGTTTAAAAAAATCAGAAGATATTTTCAACAAAAGCATAGTAATACGACCAAAAATCATTAACACAAAACAAAAGGAAAAAAAAAGTTTGAGACCAGCCTGGGCAATGCAGGCAAGACCCTGTTTCTACAAAATAGCAATAATAGTAATAATAATAAATTAGCCAGGCATGGTGTGGCATGCTTGTAGTCCTAGCTACTCAGGAGCCTGAGGCAGGAGGATTATTTGAGCCCAGGAGTTCAAGGCTGCAGTAAGCTATAATCACACCACTACACTGCAGCCTGAGTAACAGGGAAACTTGTATCCAAAAATAAAAATAAAAACATAAAAAATAAAATGGATTCAAAAAATAATTTTTGCATATGGTGCGAGGAATAAATAAAAGTTCATTTAAAAACAAAAAAGTAACCTAGAAAAGGAATGTTAAAAATTTTAAGCTGAGAAAAAATGTACACCTTTAACATCTTTATACAGCTTTTCTACTTTTTACTGGGTGAGGAGATTGAGCTCTTGCCAAGAATGTGGTTATGGCTGGGTGCAGTGGCTTATGCCTGTAATCCCAGCACTTTGGGAAGCTGAGGCAAGAGGATCACCAGAGCCCAGGAGTTCAAGATCAGCCTGGCCAACATAGCGAGACCTCATCTCTACAAAAAATACAAAAATTAGCCAGGCGTGGTGACACACACCTGTAGTCCTGGTGACTAGGAAGGCTGAGGCAGAAGAATCATTTGAACCCAGGAGTTCAAGGCTGCGGTGAGCTAAGGTCATACCACGGCACCCCAGCCTGGGCGACAAAGTGAGACTGTCAAAAAAAAAAAAAAAAAAGAATGTAGTTATGCTAAAGATAATGAGTTATATTTCCAAAGCTTCTGCAGAACTTTTGAGCTGCAAAGAAAAAAAGACCAAGAAGTTGGTCCTTTGTTCCGCAGAGTGTCATAGACAGTCTTTAGATAGGCCGACAGGGGCCCGGAGCTTAGTTTCACAGGGAATGGGTTTGCCTATTGCTTTGCATCAGAGATTAGCAAGAATTTTGGAGAATATCTAGGGACCAATAAAGATGGAAGCAGAGAGGGCCTAAGGAGGTGCACAGCCAGCAAGTGCCCCCATGTGATCAATGAATTTTAGAATATCGGTACCTAATGTTCAACTGAATTACAACTATAAATCATAATTATAAAAGTAATATAGGCTTGCCATAAAATATTTAAGCAGTTTAAAAGTATTTAGAGTAAAAACGCCTTCCCCTCAACCATGTAAATAGCCAAAGAAATTATACCATATATATTATTCACTAGCTTTCTTTTTTCACTTAACAATACATCCTTCTAATGTCTAAGTAGTATTCCTTGTTATGAATATAACAATTATACTGTAATATTCTCCAATTCATGGACATTTAGGTTGTTTTGATTTTTAAATTATCATAAAAAACGATGTCCTGTGACTTACCTACTTGTTCATGAGCACGTAATTCTGTAGGAGAGATTCCTAGAAAGGAAGTTGACCAGACACTGACAAATTGCCCCAAGCAGTGTTCTGCGAACCCTCCCGCCTATGGCCTAGGGATGCTTCTCCACATCCCCACAGAGTAGATGTTCTCAATCTTTAAAAATGCTCTCCAGTCTGATTGGCAAATCAGGCCACCTCTGTATTTCACATTCCTTGCTTAACAACAAAGCTGAGCATTGTTAATATATTCGTTAGTCAATTGTGTTGCTTTTCCTATGGATTGCTTTTTTGTATCTTTGCTTATCATTTCTGTTGGGGTGCTCATTTCTCTTACCAATTTGTAGAAATTCGCAGCTACATCATGGATCTGAACCCCTTGCTATATGTGTCACACATGTTTTTGGCTTGTCTTTATTTCCATGGCACATCTAGGAAGATGTGAACAGCCACTGTGGCCCCGGTTTTGGGATGGAGAGACAGCTCTTCCGAGAGAGGGCAGCCAAGGTAAAGAAACACAGATGAGCCATGGAAAGAGGGCATCTGTCTTCAGTCACCTGTGCAGGGTGAGCAGTGATGTGTTGAGAAAAAAGTGTATGATTTGGAGATTAAAAGGCTACAGTTCATCCCCTGCTAGCTATGTGACCGTGGAAAAATGGTCTAACCGCTCCAAGGCTCAGTTTCTTCTATAAAGAGAGGAAGTAATGGTTACTTCATACAGGACTGTTGTGTGAAACAAATGAGTAAATTCATGTAAAGGACTTGCTTCGGGGCCTGACATCCAATCAGTGTTTGAGCAATGAACAGTTTACAGTGTGAACCCAATAAAATCACACGCTCAGATGCCTTTTGACGATTTTAAAGGGTTGTGAACACATACGTAAGTAGCTGTTAGTTTTACACACAATTATCCATGTCAAGTACTGCACTAGAAGTCTGTGAAACATTCAGCCACTCTCTTAGTTCTGAGTTTGGAGACTGGAATGCTCTCTGAGAGTGTCAGGTGTCCTCCCACGTTCACTGATTGGCAAAGGGGAGATGGGGGCTGGGAAGGGGGAGGCTCACTCAGGAGTCCAGACAGTGGTGGGGACAACCTGAGTGCTCAGTCGTAAAGAGGAAAGGCAGAATTTTTCCTTGCTATGGCTGGAACAAAGGCACTTTTGATGCTGGAAAACTTCATAGATGGAAAATTTTTACCTTGTAGCTCATACATAGATTCTTACGACCCATCAACGGGGGAAGTGTATTGCAGAGTGCCAAATAGTGGAAAAGATGAGGTGAGTATATGCACTTAAAGAAGACTGAAATGTGTTTAATATGTTGGCCAATTATGGGTAACAATTTTCTAAAAGCAGAGGCAGTTGGGGGAAGATGTAGGATTGTTAAACATGATAGAAGGAAGATTTGAGTTCTGAGAAGATTTACCTTGTAACTGGACTGTATGATACATAGAACAAACCTCTTACTATATTCAGAAGTAAGTCATTTTCTAGCCAACCTAACACAGCCCTGTGTGCAGTTCTTTTTTTTTGTAATTCTCAAACATTTCCTAATCAGTGTCTAGTACAAAGTATTATTTGTAAGAGTTATCGCTTTGTTAAATATTCCCTTTTCTCCACCAAGCACTGCTTAAATTTACCACTATATCCATGGAATTTAAAAAAATGTGTGGCGTTACTAAAACAAACAAGCAAAAAACTGTGGGCTTTATTTTAGATTGTCTTCTCATAATTTCTCATGTCTTCAAAATACCTAGTAAAATAAAATCAATCATTTGAATGATGAAACTCAAAATCAAATTCCCATATATTTTTGGAGTTAGATTTAACAGCATCTTTTTTCTTATTCAAAGTGTTTAATGGCATATGCATTACATTTTTTTAGCAATGTAGTATTAATTTTACTTGGAGAATTTTGTAAAATATTTGAGATATATTTGATTAGCTATCAATTATTGCACTGAGAATGTAAATATATCTGAAGTGGTAAATGTAGCTGATGTATATATAGTCATCTAATGCCTTATGAATTATAATTTATTATTTTTAAGGCACAAAGAGCTAGATTATTTAAAATATAATTATAGCCTTTATATAAAGATACATATTCTATGCAAAGTTTTTTTTGAAGAACACTGCTATTTTTTTTCTTTTTTGTTAATACTTCAAATCCGTCTTGCATTTAAAATAAACCTTTAGACTTAGGGATTAATGTTTGCAAATGTTGGTTAATGCATTGGTTAAATTATAATCTGCAATTTTGTTTGCTTCAAATGACCTAACACAGCTCTGGGAAATCCAGCTTTGTGTTTTCCACTCTTCCTTGTTTGCCAAAGTGAAGTTAAAAATGACAAACATGCCAATTTCAGCTGAAATATTTCCTGCAGTTAACTGCTCATACCTTTTTAGAAAATAGAGTGAGGTATGGATGCACTAGCTAGTAGAGTAATAGATATGTTCAATTTCTCAGCAATCCAACTTCCAAATATCCTATCTGATCCCATAAGTCATAGTTTTTTTCTGGCTTCAAAAATATGGTTACCATACAAACCGCATGTCCAATTTCCCAAAACATCACTCAGAAAAATGTTGCTGGTGCTCCCATTTATTCAGCTTTTGCTATGTGCTTTGCAGTCATTAAGCTCTTTTTAAAAAAAATTAAAAAAGTAATACATAATAATTGTACATCTTTATGGGCATATGCAACATTTTGATACATGCAGTGTGTCATGCTCAAATCAGGGTAATTAGGATCTCCATCACATTAAACATTTATCATTTCTTGGTGTTGGGAACATTCCAAATCGTTCTTCTAACTATTGTGAAATATACAATAAATTATTGTTAACTATTGTCACTCTACTAGAACTTATTCCTTTTAACCATATTTTTGTATTAATTAGCCAACCTCTATCCTCTCCTCTACCCTTCCCAGCCTCTGGTAACCATAATTCTACTCTCTACCTCCATGAGATCAACTTTTTTAAGCTTCCACATATGAGTGAGAACATGTAATACTTGTATTTTTGTGCCTGGCTTACTTCACTTAGCATAATATCCTCCAGCTGAAATCATGTTGCTGCAAATGACAGGATTTTGTTCCTTTTTATGGCTGAATAATATTCCATTGTGTATATATACCATATTTTCTTTATCCATTCATCTGTTGATAGACATTAGGTTGAGTTCATATCTTGACTATTGTAAATAGTGCTGCAACAAACATGGGGTACAGGTATCTCTTCAGTATACCGAGTTCCTTTTCTTTGGATAAATTTCCAGTAGTGGGATTGCTGGATCATATTGTTGTTCTATTTTTAGTTTTTTTTTTTAGAAACCTTTATATGTTTTCCATAATGGCTGCACTAATTTACTTTCACACCAACAGTGTATGTGTCTTCCCTTTTTTCTGCAGCTTCAACAGCCTTTTTTATTTCTTGTTTTTTAATAATAGCCATTTTAACTGGGATGAGATGATAGCTCGTTGTGGTTTTGACTTGCATTTCCCTAATAGTTAGTGATGTTAAGCATTTTTTATATACTTGGCCATTTGTACGTCTTCTTTTGTGGACTATCTAGTTAGATCATTTGCCTATTTTGAAGTTGGATTTGTTGGTGGGGGCTATTGAGTTGTATATGTATACATAAAAGCTCAAGCTCCTTATATATTCTGGTTATTAATACCTTGTCAGATGGATAGTTTGCAAATATTTTCTCCCATTCTGTAGGTTGCCTGTTAACTCTGTTGATTGTTTCCTCTGTCGTGCAGAAGATTTTTAGCTTAATGTTATTTTATTTATTTATTTATTTATTTATTTATTTAATTTTCTTTTGTTGCCTGTACTTTTGAGGTCTTACCCAAAAAAATCTTTGCCCAAATCAATGTCCTGAAGTATTTACCCTGTGTTTTCTTACAGTAGTTTCAAAGTTTTGAGTCTTAACATCTGTCTAAGTCTTTAATCTGTTTTGATTTGATTTGGTGAGAGATAGGGGTCTAGTTTCATTCTTCTGCATATGGTTATCCAATTTTCCCAGCACCATTTATTGGAAAGACTATCTTTTCACCAATGCATATTTTTGGCAGCTTTGTAAAAAACGAGTTGGCTGTAAATGCATGGATTTATTTCTGGATTATCTATTCTGTTTCATAGGTCTATGTGTGTGTTTTTACACCAGTGCCATGCTATTTTGGTTACTATAGTTTTGTAGTATATTTTAAAGTCTGGTAGTGTACATTCAGTAAGCCCTTTAACATGGATTATCCAAAGAAGCAAGTTATAACAACCTAGAAGTCTCTATTATGATCCTTATTTTACAGAGGACAGTGCTAACACTCTCATCTCTGATGCTTAGATCCATTGGTATGTGCACATGTGTGCACACACACATGCACACCTGTGTGCATAGCACATTTGCATTATAGCATTGCAGTTATAAGCACATACTAGAGTCAGACTGCCTGGTTCAAAGACAAGCTGCACCACTTGATATCCATGGCCTTGACTTAGGGCTGAACTTCTGCAAGGCTCAGTCTCCTCATCTATAAAATGAGGATAATAATGATATCTACTTTGTAGTGTTATTCTGAGGATTAAACAGACTAATATGTGTAAAGCCCTTAGTGCTTGGCATATAGTAAATGATTTCTATGTATTAGCTTATGCTAATATTATTGTATGTAGTACATTAATGTGTATTCTGTATTACATGGACATAAGATGTGCTATAAGGCAACTTAGAAAATATGAGTGGACTTGAATTTTCTGAATAGCAAAAAGATCAGATTTTTACATTGAGTAGGAATTCATGCTCCTCTTGTTGGCTGGCAGTGGGGCTTCCTCATGGCTGCAGCTAGTGGTGGAAGAAACCAAAGGAATCTCTTCCCCCATCCTGTCTACAGGTCCACATCTGAGATTTAGTTTTTGAGGTGAAGCCACCATATTTCTAGAATTTTCTAATTAAGATGAGAATCATTTTAAACCTTACTTCACCTCAGCTAAAAGTGACTGTATTAGTTCGTTCTCACACTGCTATAAAGATACTACCCAAGACTGGGTAATTTATTAAGGAAAGAGATTCAATTGACTCACAGTTCTGCATGGCTGGGGAGGCCTCAGGAAACTTACAATCATGGCTGAAGGGGAAGCAGGCATGTCTGGCGGCAGGTGAGACAGCGTGTGAAGCCCGGGAAAAACTATCATTTATAAAACCATAGATCTCATGAGAATTCACTCACTATCATGAAAATAGCCCCCACAAACCAATCACTTTCCTCTCTTGATGTCTGGGGATTATAATTCAAGATGAGATTTGGGTTGAGAAACAAAACCTAACCATATCAGTCAGTTTGCATGAGGAAAATGAAGGAGGGGTGTGGGTCAAGTTTTGCATAAGGGCTAGCACAGGCTTGGGTGGCTAGATTGCTTCAGGTCAAGTCCTCCAAAAAAGATGCTCACGGCTGCCAGAAGCCTATGGAAAAGGATTCTGAGTCTGAGCCAGGGCCCAGTGGTGGAAGACAGCTGTGATTCTAATAACTTTTCATGCATGTGAGAAAGGACAGGAGTGAGACACAGGTTAGGGATTTGTCATCTCTGGAGAAGGCATTACTTAGACATTGCTAGAGAGAAGAGAAAGGCAGAAGAGGACTTGAAAATTATTTTGCCTACATCACATTTTGGCCATCAGTTGATCCTGCCCATACCTTCTCATACATATATTGTTTCCTTTTGTATGTAACTCTAAAAGCAAGTACCCAAGCCATCTGTTCAGCCACAAATCTCCTCTTCCCCAGTAAGGCCTCTTCCACTGGGCAGAACCAGGCAGTAGGCAGAGCAACCTGTGATCCTGGGAACCACCAAAATCTGGGTTTGAGTCCTGATTCTGCCACTTATTAGCTGTGTGACCTATGGCAAGTTACTTGAGTTTCTGTGTCTCAGTTTTCTCCTCTGTAAATTGGGCATAGAAATACTTATTTTATAGAATTTTAAAAGGACTTAAACAAAATAATTTGTATAAAGTATTTAGCATATTCCCTTATATAAAAATTAGTCAATAAATTATGAATATAATTAGTCATTTCAAGTGAAATTGACAATCTGAGGATGTGATTTCACCCAAAATTTCAGACCTTATAAGATATGTCAGAGCTGAGTTAGAAGCTTTAGAGATTCCACATATCTAGATTAATTTTCTTCTTCTGTAATATATATACTATATATATGCACTATATATATAATATATACATTTTTTTGAGACAGGGTCTCAGTCTGTCACCTAGGCTGGAGGGCAGTGGCACAATTACAGCTCACTACAGCCTCTACCTCCTGGGCTCAAGTGATCCTCCCACCTCAGCCTGCTGAGTAGCTGGGAGTACAGGCATGCACCATCATGCCCAACTAATTTTTTTAAAACAACGTTGTGTAGAAACAGGGTCTCACTATGTTGACCAGGCTGGTCTCAACCTCCTGGGCTCAAGAGATCCTCCCAACCCAGCCTCCCAAAGTGCTAATATTACAGGCATGAGCCATCACTCCTGGCCCACGATATTTTTAAAAATTCTAGTTTCTGAAGTGATTGAAAATGTACATCTGTTAAAATTCAAATAGCTTCTTTCTAATGCTCTGATTACCACATTCAGGATGCATTGGTTGAAATGGAGTGTGTTTCTTTGTTTCTGTGGTACCCCTCCTTTGCTGGTCATGTAAACACCTGTGTCATTTACTTGGTGGGTGGCCCAGCACTGGGGCATGCTGAATATTCAAAATTAGGTGTGGGCCAGACGTGGTGGCTCACACCTGCAATCCCAGCATTTTAGGAGGCTGAGGCGAGTGGATCACTTGCATTCAGGAGTTCGAGACCAGCCTGGTCAGCATGGTGAAACCCCATTTCTACTAAAAATACAAAATTAGCCATGCCTGCAATCCCAGCTACTCAGGAAGCTGAGGTGGGAAAATCACTTGAACTCCAGAGGCAGAGGTTGCAGTGAGCCAAAATTGCACCACTGTACTCCAGGCTGGGCTACAGAGTGAGAATCTGTCTAAAAAAACAACAACAAAAAAATGAGGTGTATGGAGACCTGAGGATTCTGGTTTCGTCCATCCCCTCAGGAGTAGCAGCTTTAAGGTGACCCTCTCTCCCATTTGCTCCTCAAAGATCGAAGCCGCGGTCAAGGCCGCCAGAGAAGCCTTTCCCGGCTGGTCATCCCGCAGCCCCCAGGAGCGCTCGCGGGTCCTGAACCAGGTGGCGGATTTGCTGGAGCAGTCCCTGGAGGAGTTTGCCCAGGCCGAGTCTAAAGACCAAGGTGAGAGTTGCCTCTTAACTGTAACATGGGACTCAGGGCATCTCTGATTATTCATGTTACCCCTCCTGGGGCCATCGGACCAGCCCACATGCCTGCTCCTCTGTCAATAGTAGAAGTGGAGAGCAAACCCTCTCCTGCTCCAGGCCTGGGAAGGCCAGGATTTGCAGCTGGCCCACCCCATCTCATTCAGATGGCCAGAGAAAGTCACATGGCTGGACCCAAAAGCTGAGGGGCAAAGAAATATACTCTGTCCATTGGATGAAAGGAAGTGCAAATATATACAGCAAAGGGCATGGACATAGAGAGATGAAGAACTAGGGCTGATCATGCAGTCTCCTACTCATTCTAAGCAGAAAATTTAAAAGCAAAGATAATTCGAAAAGCAGTTGTGCAGTCAGGTTATTTAGGATGTTTTCTGATATGTCAGTCACCATTCCACCCCCGATGCATTTTCTGATTTTTTTTTCCACTCCTTCCCTGAGGTCAGGGTAATGGAGTAAATATCTGTAAATGTTTGCAACAATATCTGTTAGGATAAGGCAAGAGTTTTAAAAATTATATGTGTGCTATAAACCAAGCCCAAATTAGAAAGCAGCCTGAGTCCAAGCCCTTGAAAAGGAAATAGTTCTCTGTTGGTGTTCCTGGCCAGTCTCCCTACATCGCTAAAGAGAACTCAGTAGCAGTCCAGGTAAGCTTCTGTTTCTCTTTCTCCTCCATCCAGGAGCTAGGACGTGCAGGGCATGTGATGGGCGAGCAGGTGCCATGCAGCATCCCATGCCAGGGAATTCCCAGCCGCCCTTCTGATGACTCTACCATGTGTTGAGAGGTCATGAAATACACATTCCATGTGTGTGAAAGTGTTTCGTTTTCTGCTGTGCAAATACAACGGTCCTAACACCCATATTTCAATGCCTTTGTCACAGGTACAAAGCCTGGTGACTGAATTGCAAGAGTTTGTGTGGGTGAAGTGGTAGCATCTGGCAAACTGAGGATGAGAATGATGTGTTCAGTCCACAAAACAAAGATTATTGACTCAATTTTAACCCCCCACTTCAGTTTCCAACCTTATACCGAAATATTTTATGGTTTTGTCAAACCATGATCAAATATTTGTGAGGTCAAGAAATGCCTGCCCCAGGCTGGAAGGAATCCAGGCCGTTTCAGTGTGAGTTGGGACACGTGGGCGGTGGAAGCTGACGGATAAAGTGTCCCCATTAGCCGATAGTGCTTTATGTTGTTTGCTTCTTACAGGGAAAACCTTAGCACTGGCAAGAACCATGGACATTCCCCGGTCTGTGCAGAACTTCAGGTTCTTCGCTTCCTCCATCCTGCACCACACGTCGGAGTGCACGCAGATGGACCACCTGGGCTGCATGCACTACACGGTTCGGGCCCCGGTGGGAGTCGGTAGGTGCTGTTCAGTGAGAGCCCGCCTCCTGCTTATGCTTGCAGATGCTCACAACATTCTATGTCATTGTCCTCAAGGAACAGGCTAAGGAAAAGGAAAAGCTGATATTTTTCTTTTACCTAAAATCCATTGGCCTAAAAAATCTATTTCTAGTTTATTTTATTTGTGTCAAATTCCCTACTTTTGTTTTTTTAAACAGAGTCTCTCTCTGTCGCCCAGGCTGGAGTGCAGTGGCATGATCTCGGCTCACTAGCCACCACACCTAGCTAATTTTTATATTTTTAGTAGAGACAGGGTTTCACCATGTTGGCCAGGCTAGTCTCGGACTCCTGACCTCAAGTGATCCTCCCACCTTGGCCTCCCCAAGTGCTGGGATTACAGGCATGAGCTACCATGCCAGGCCTCATGTTCTCGACTTATTCCTGAAACATTATCTTGGAAAATCATAGGGAAAAGAATGATGCTAAGAGTAAATACATAAATTCACATGCTAGGATTTTTTTTTTCTACTTATATTTAAAAAAGGAAAAACCAGGCTGGGCGCAGTGGCTCACGCCTGCAATCCCAGCACTTTGGGAGGCCAAGATGGGTGTATCATCTGAGGTCAGGAGTTCGAGACCAGCCTGGCCAACATGGCGAAACCCTGTCTCTACTAAAAATGCAAAAAATTAGCTGGATGTGGTGGGGCGCCTGCAATCCCTGCTACTTGGAAGGCTGAGGCAGAGTCATTTGAACCCGGGAGGCTGAGGTTTCAGTGAGCTGAGATCATGCCATTGTACTCCAGCCTGGGTGACAAGAGTGAGGTTCCATCTGCAACAGCTGCTTGGGAGGCTGAGGCAGGAGAGTAGGTTGAACTCGGGAGTCGGAGGTTGCAGTGAGCTGAGATCGGGCCACTGCACTCCAGCCTGGGTGATAGAGCGAGACTCCGTCTCAAAAGAAAAAAAAAAAAGGAGGAACTATTTATGTACATTAAATAATTAATAAGCGTAGGGCATGTAGTATGGTGCCAGGTATGTGATAAATAAGCCTCTACTGAGAACTTTCTTACTTCATGCATTCCTTTGCCTCTTGACCTTTGGAGGAACGTATAAATAAATGTCTGCGATGACTAAAACTTTCCACTAGATGTCACTGTTTCCTCGAAGGAAAAAAAATCATTTTTTAACTTGTTACATTTTATGAATATAAGTTAAAAGGAAAAAAAAATTGGGACATCTCATTGCTTTGGTTCCTTGAAACCTTCAGAAATTATGTTTTCAAGGCATTGTGGAAAGCTCTACCTCCTCCTAAGAAACGTGCTAATACATTTTGCTGCAAAAATATTTTTATCCCCTAAAGAATGGATTTTTCAATGGGAAATGTAATAATCTAAGAGATGCATTTACTTTCATAGCACAGGCTTGAGGGAAGAGTATAAAATAAGGTGAATCAATTTCCTTTCAGAAGGTAGATTTTTATATTTGTGTGTTTTGTGGTTGGAAACCTGGGTAGTTTCAGAATATTGCATGGAGACACATTCTAGCTGCTGATTACATTATTCATCCAGCAAATCTCTCTGATCAGGATACAAGTGATAATCTAGAGAGAATTTTTATTTAAAAATATTTAGCCAAAATGGATGTCACAGTCTATGTGCCAAAGGTTATTGGCTTTACTGATAGGAGGGCCCTCACAAGGAATTCTCCGAACCTATTGGCCCCTATTTTATGAATAATTATAGAAAGCTTGAGATTTTATGTCTCAACCCACAACAGATTTGAAATAAAGGTAAAGAAACGTGTTAGAAGAAATAACAGCCGGACAGTTAAAATAATGAGGAAGGAGACGTTTTTGAAAAAGTAAAGCTCAGTCTATAAATCTCAAAATGCATCACATTCTGGAACTGTTTAGTGATAGGTGACAACTGTTTTTTTATTTTTTATATTTTTTTGAACTTCCAGGGGACATGTGCAGGATGTGCAGGTTTGTTACATAGGTAAATGTGTGCCATGGTGCTTTGCCGCACCTATCAACCCATCACCTAGGTGTTAAACCCAGCATGCATTTGCTCTTTATCCTGATGCTCTTTCCCCGACCTTCCCTGACAGGCTCTGGTGTGTGTTGTTCCTTTCCCTGTGTCCATGTGTTCTAATTGTTCAGCTCTCACTTATAAGTGAAAACCTTCAGGTGTTTGGTTTTCTGCTCCTGTGTTAGTTTGCTAAGGATAATGGCTTCTACCTTCATCCATGTGCCTGCAAAGGACATGATCTCGTTCCTTTTTATGGCTGCATAGTATTTCATGGTGTATATGTACTCCATATTCTTTATCCAGTCTATTATTGATGAGCATTTGGGTTGATTCCATGTCTTTGCTATTGCTATTGTGAATAGCAAAGTGCTGCAATGAACATACGCGTGCATGTATCTTTGTAACAGAATGATTTATATTGCTTTGGCTATATGATAGGCGACAACTCTTTAGCTCTGGAGTTTGTGTTGCTGTTGTTCATAATCATGAACCATCAAGAAATGGGTAAATCATATTGACTTTACTCTATTTTAAAAGGTGCAGTTGCTTGGAATATATTTTAGACTCATTTCCCTGAAGGTGGCTACATATAAGCAAAACTTGGGAAGAAGTTAGAAGAGTAAGCTAAGTTTCCTGCAGCATGAAGGAGTTTTGCATTAATAACCCCACTTGGCCAGTCCGCCTCAGAGGGGTGTGCTCTCTGTCACAGGCAGTGCTTCTGCTCTCATCCCTTAGCTGGTCTAATCAGCCCGTGGAATTTGCCACTCTACTTGCTGACCTGGAAGATAGCTCCAGCGATTGCTGCAGGGAACACTGTGGTGGCCAAACCCAGTGAGCTGACCTCAGTGACGGCGTGGATGTTGTGCACTCTCCTGGATAAAGCAGGTAATTAGGTGTTGGGGTTGCGGGGCAGGCACAGAGTTGGAGCAAAGCTATAGTTTATAGAAATCTTCCACTCAGCAGCACAATTGATTCCAGTGACGCCTTGGGCTTTGTCTTCTGATCCTTGTCTGGGAAATCCCCTCCACCCACAGGGTTCCCTCATCCTGCGTCCTGTCTTCAACGCCAGAAAGGTGCTACTGCAGGTGAGTTCCACTCCCCAGGGTGGGCCACTGGCAGCACAATAGTGACACAGACTTAAACAGCCCCATCAAATCAAAGACACCAGCCTGCTCCAGAGAGTCAATTAAAATCTTAAATTGGGGCTCGGTGCGGTGGCTCACGCCTGTAATCCCAGCACTTTGGGAGGCTGAGGCAGGTGGATCATGAGGTCAGGAGATCGAGACCATCCTGGCTGATACGGTGAAACCTCGTCTCTACTAAAAATACAAAAAATTATCCAGGCATGGTGGCGAGCACCTGTAGTACCAGCTATTTGGGAGGCTGAGGCAGGAGAATGGCATGAACCTGGGAGGCAGAGCTTGTAGTGAGCTGAGATTGCACCACTGCACTCCAGCCTGGGCGACAGAGCGAGACTCTGTCTCAAAAAATAAATAAACAAATAAATAAAATAATAATAATAATAAATAAAATCTTAAGTTGGAATCACAAGTTAATCTTGATGACAATAAGAATATTGCTAGGTACACCTATAGTGTGCTTAGCTATAGAATACCTAGTAGAAGTAACCCGATTTTAAGAGCTCTAAATATACATCCTTCAGTTTTCCCTGCCTTTGGGACCGCTCCTGGAAAGCTAATACAATATGGCCTCTTCCTAGCATATCAAGGTTCACGCGTTTGCTCCTTGTTCTTTTTCTGGTAATAGTTTATTGGCCGCATTCAGGATGCGCTCCTGGTTTTGTTCTGGGGTGTAGCTCCGCACAGGCACAGGCTGGCACTGTTTCAAGGCAGCAGGCGGGAGACCCCAGCAGCCCTCCTGTGAGAAGTCCCCTTAATGTAAGGTCTTTTGGCCACGTCACCCCACAGCCAGGGCAGGAGTGCTGGGTGGTGGGGACAGACTCACCGTCTGTCTAGCTGAGTCTTTCCTTGCTGCCTTTCAGCTCATAGAGGGGCACTGCTGGGCTCTCCTGTATCCACAGAATGCCCGGTGGGTAAGAGCCCATCCCTCTCTCCCTCTTCAGAACACCTTTCTTAGAAGCACAGACAGACACATTAACTTCCAGTAAACCCTAGCCAGTTCTTTAGTCCACGAGGAAGATGATGGCTCAAAACTGAGGCTGTTTAGGGAACGGCACTGGGCCTTCGGATCCCAGGTCCTCCGGAGGAATGAGGCCTTCCAGCCTAGGACTCTGGGTTGTCATCTGTGGACATCCCAGGCTTCGAGGTGGAGGGAGTGGGGTGGGGCATATAATTTCAAAGTGCCGACCCTTCCCATGTTCCTCCTCTACAAAAGACCCCACAGTCTAATCCCATTCTTTGTGAAATGAAGTCTGTGGTGTCTGCAAAGGCACGACATATTTCTTCCCTGCCTGGTGACTGCAGGTTCCCCAGAGTGGACTAGGCCTGGGGCTTCCCCTCTACTGGGACTTGGAGGCAGGGGTGGCGCCGCAGAACCGTGTTCCCTTAACCACTCTCTCCTGAGACCAAGCACGTCTGGATCAGTGATGAGTTATCTTTCCCAGCCAGTCTGTCCTGAATCTGGCCTGCATGAGAGTTTCTGTTTCCATCTCCGCACAGCATTGATCTTATTTCTTGTGGGCTAATAAGCCCATGAAACTAAGACAGCCCTTCTCCTCTTTCCTCCATGGGCTGAAACTTCCTCCCCTGACAAATACAGCGTGTCATCTTCACCTTGCTCCTCTCTTGAGCCCTCGGTTTCTCCACTGGGATTGGGAGGAATGTGAACCACATCTGTGTCATCTGCTTTAGAATCATGTAAGAGAAGCTTTTAGTGGGGAGGGAAAAGCGAAAATAACTAATTCATTCTGGATGTTTAAAGAGTCAGCTCCTCTAGTCCTGGGCATTTAAACAGACTTGACGGATAACCTTCCTTTGAAATAATCTAATTTTTAAAAGGACACAGTGAATACTTCTATGGGATTCCTGGAATAGTCATTGTTTCTTGGGGGCACCAAATATTTGCCCTAATTCCTGGAGTGCCCATTGACTGCATTTTCCTGGCCCTTCCCATTAGCTGTGTGGGGTGGTGGGGTGGGGGATGTGTGTGTGTGTGTGTGGGGGGGGGCGGGTAGGGAACGTGTGTGTGTGTGGGTGTGGGTGTGGGGCAGGGGATGTGTGTGTGTGAGGGGGTGTGTGTGTGTGCTCTATTTAAGCCTAAAATTCTTCTTGTTGCCACCCTGCCAAGCCCCGGCATTTGAGGGGTTTCCTTCTAGTCTGTTCTCGTCTGTTCCTAACTTGTCTGTTAGCCACCTCCCCTGAGTTTTGCTAACTTGTTATTTGTCAATTAAACTGCTTTCCTTCTCTTATCACCAGAATCTCTTCAGGGTTAGAGGGCAGACATCTTGAGAAAAATTCCATTAATTTCTGGATAAAACGTCAAAATGGTACTGGGAAATAATGGCCAGCCGACATTAGCATCCAAGCCCAAGGGAATGTGATCAAAATGTTAATACCATCGAGGGGAAGGCAATTCACTGCGGCATGGGCTCATTTTACTGTGGGGATAAATATGCAGTGCTTCTGCATTCTCTCTCACCCTCGGTTAAAATGCTACTGTGGGCCGGACGTGGTGGCTCATGCCTGCAATCCCAGCACTTTGGGAGGCCAAGGCGGGCGGATCACGAGGTCAGGAGATCAAGACCATCCTGGCCAAAATGGTGAAACCCCGTCTCCACTAAAATACAAAACAATTAACTGGGGGTGGCAGACGCCTGTAGTCCCAGCTACTCAGGAGGCTGAGGCAGGGGAATCGCTTGAACCTGGGAGGTGGAGGTTGCAGTAAGCTGAGATGGCGACACTGCACTCCAGCCTGGATGACAGAGCGAGACACTCTGTCTCAAAAAAAAAAAAAAACCAAGAAACTACTGTGAACATTAGCAGTGATTCCATTCAGTTTTTGCCTTCAGGATTGATAAAGTCTAACAGTCCACCCCCTCCTGCCCCACACCCCATTCACCCACACGCACATCCCATCACTGGTGGAGATGCTGGGCCCCGCCCAGGAAACTGTGGGAAACTTGTCCTTGTTTCATCCCAAGGGAGGGCCTCTCCTTCCACACTTTTCTTTGCCCCAACCCAGAGCTGGGGTGCTCTCACATGGTGCCAGCCACTCCTCTGACAGTGACCTACAGTCTGGGACTGACCTAAGTTAGATTTCAACAAATGTGCACGTTGGGTACAGAGATGCAACACTTAGGCCAATCCTAAGAACTGCCTAGACACAGCGGGATTATACAGATGACTTTCTTTTTGGACATTATAGAGATGATTTTCTTTTTAAAACTTCCTCATTCATGAATCATTTCTAATTTGAATAATGTACACTAAGCATTCATTCACTCATTCATTTACTTAAGTCATTAACCTGCTGGCTTTGCTGCTTACTGCTTGTTATTCAATCTCACTTTGCCTCAAATTTCTTCCTGGTGAACTAAGTGTAATAAAACTACCTACCTCCTAAGGTTGTTGTGAGGCCTGAAGGGTGTGAGTCACGGATAGCAGTGGTGACCCCACAGTAAGCACCCCATCTAATGTTTGCATTTACTGGTCTGAGTTCCCTGTGCTATCAGCTGAAGAATCATAAGGTTCATGCATTTGGAAAGGAGGGTTTTATTTCTTATAAATCGTTGCAGCCTGCAGACTGGCCATCTTGCAGGCTGGGAAGCGTAGCCTCTGCCCAAAGTGGAGAACAAGTACTTGGAGGAGGGGTAAAGGGAACAGAAATTTATCCTGAGCAGGGTGGTTGAATATTCATGTTCAGTAGGATATGGGAGGAGTCATGAATATTTATGAAAGGAGAAACAGGTGCGTGCACAGGTGAGCTTCATGTGTCTTCACTGGATCACGTGCTCAAAAAGATGGCAGCCTTAGCATGTTCCGAGGGTGGAGTTTTTGGTCATCTGACGTCAAAAGGTGAAGCAGAGGACATGAAAACCCTCATGACATACCCTCGGCAGTCGGCCAAAACCAGTCCAGAGATGGTGGTCAGTTTTTAGGAAGGGATGCGTTGTGAGACTGGTGAGCTGCCACATCTAAACTGCAAAGAGGGAGGAAAATTTGGTTGCAGTTTCAGATGTTTAGCTAAAGGCGATAAAGGAATAGGTTGTTCATTTCTTGTTTTTTAGAGCTGGCTTCTGCTTACACTCAGGAAAGAATTCTGGTTAAAGATTAATAAGGAAGGGTCATACTACGGCGTGTTTGACCTCTCATCCTATAATGGCTGGGAATTCAGTTTTTAAGGTTTCTCTGGTATCCCTTTGGCCAAGAGAGGGTCTATTCAGTGAACTGGGGGAGCTTAGGATTTTATTTTTATTTCTCAATGCCAAACTAGGCTGTGGCACAGAGTATACAACGGAGAGCAAAGAACAGATACTGTTTCTGCCCTTAGCTAGTGTACCTTCTAGTTGTGTGCAGGCAATGAACAAGTAAGTCCAGAAAACACATGGATAGGCCGGGTACAGTGGCTCATGCCTGTAATCCTAGTACTTTGGGAGGCTGAGGTGGGCAGATCACTTGAGGTCAGGAGTTCGAGACCAGCCTGGACAACATGATGAAATCCCCTCTCTACTAAAGATACAAAATTTAGCCAGGCATGGTGGTGCATGCCTGTAATCCTAGCAACTCAGAAGGCTGAGGGCAGGAGAATCTTTTGAACCCGGGAGGCGGAGGTTGCAGTGAGCCAAGATGGCGCCACTGCACTCCAGCCTTGGCAATAGAGCCAGACTCCATCTCAAAAATAAAATAAAATAATAAAAAAGAAAACACATGCATAAATGCACAAATATACAGGGTAGCAGGGTCTTGTGATAGAAAAGATTGGGGCACCCATTTTTGGTTGTTTGTGGTACTTGTAAGTTGGCCCTACAGTGTTGTGATGTTGTTTATAAGCATGGTGCACAGGACTTCCAACCTAAAACCCACCCTCCCTGGGAGCCTCGCCCTTCTTCCCTGGGCCAAGATAGTCGATTTCTTCTTTGCTCCTCTGCAGCGTGTATACACCTCTCTACTTAACATTTTCACACTGCATTGTGACTCCTGGACACCAAGATGGAGCAGGGGGCTGCTCCCCTAGTGGGCTTGACCTGCCTGAGACTATCTCTGCATCCTCAAGCCCTAAGGCCTAGCCAGTATTATGGAACGAATCACCTAAAATATGTTCCACCCTGCGTCTCTCTAGGGCAAAGCATCCGGTGGGATCCTACCTGGTGTGTACTGTGGGCTGAGGTGACTCTGTGGGTTTTGCTTTGCTATTAAACCAGAGGCAGTCATGAAAGTTCCAAGTGTTGTAAAACCCAAGTGCTTCCTCCATCCCCACCCACTCCCATTCAAGCGATTGGACTTTCAAGGAGAATTTCCATGTAACTTGAACTCTTCAACATACCGAGAATTACTATAACTGATATTGTTTCCTATCCAGGTGTTCCACCAGGTGTGGTCAATATTGTGTTTGGAACTGGGCCCAGGGTGGGTGAGGCCCTGGTGTCCCATCCAGAGGTGCCCCTGATCTCCTTCACCGGGAGCCAGCCCACCGCCGAGCGGATCACCCAGCTGAGCGCTCCACACTGCAAGAAGCTCTCCCTGGAGCTGGGGGGCAAGAATCCTGCCATCATCTTCGAGGACGCCAACCTGGATGAGTGCATTCCGGCAACCGTCAGGTCCAGCTTTGCCAACCAGGTATGTCCCCTGGGGTTCTTCTCCCTCCCCTCCATGGCCCTGTCAAGCTGGATCTGGTTCATCACAGTGCAATGCCTGGAGCAAGCAACTCAATCCAGTGCCATTTCCGTGAAGGCAGGACCAGTACATTGTGTGATTCCCTTAACTCTCTGCTCAATTTGAACATTAATTAGTGGCCCTGTGGAGTCACAGCTTCTGTTCAGCAAACTCCTCTTCTTCAGTTGCACAGCTTTTATCAGGCACCAGCCGGGGGTGGAATGATTGATTTTGCTGCTCCGAGCATCTCCATTTCTTTATTCACACAGTTGCCCTGTCTTGTCTTTTATTCTTTTCTTAAACCTTGTCTTTGCTTGTGGTTCAAATGTCCTATTCCCAGTAAATCTTACTCTCATTTCAAAAGTATTCCAAATGCATTCATACACTGAGTTCCAAATACCTGAAACTGACTAGAGAAGATTTCTCGGCGTGGATTCATGGATCAGCTTCAGGGCATCGTTGTAGCTTCTGAAATTACATAACAGATATTTCTCTGGGCTCTGTAGTTTTTGGCAGATTCTTTAAGGCTATGGCATTCCAAAGAGTTAAGAACACTAGACCAGATCAACTAAACAGTAGGTTGCAAGAAGATGGAAACGGTGCCTGCTTTTGTGTGGTATTTTCAGTGTCAATGCTTAGAATACTGCCTAGGATATAGCAGATGTACATAAACACTGGATGATTTTCTTCAAAGGATATTTTTATTTTAACAGAGAATAAAGATATAGGCCAAAGACTTAGAACTTCACAGAAGGAAAGAGCAGTGAAATGAGAGATATGTGTATTGAGCTAACTCAGGTGACATTGAATATTGCATAAACTTTTGAACCTGCATTGCTTCACTGATAAAATCATGTGAACAATAATGATGTCTTCTAACAGGGTTTTCATGAGTATAGAGTGACAAAAGTTACTTTCAGTTATTATCTTCATGATAATCATAAGTGTAATTATTTCTCTCACTGTAACTCTTGAAGTGGCTAGAAAGATAGTTTCTGGATAAATAGACAATGTACTTTTACAATACAACTAATTTAACCATTAAGCAAGTTTCAAGTGAACAATTAAACCAAGTGTTTTCATGGCTTAGAGACAACAACAGAGTGACAAATTTTGTGGACTGAGAAACTAAGATGAGAGAAAGCTAAACTCTGTACTAAACAAATTCTGAGGAGCTGGGCATGGTGACTCACACCTGTAGTCCCAGCACTTTGGGAGGCCGAGGTGGGTGGATCACCTGAGGTCAGGAGTTCGAGACCAGCCTGGCCAACATGGCAAAACCCCGTCTCTACTAAAAATACAAAAATTAGCTGGGCATAGCGGTGGGCACCTGTAATCTCAGCTACTTGGGAGGCTCAGGCAGGAGAATCTCTTAAAACCAGGAGGCGGAGATTGCAGTGAGCCAAGATTGCACCTCTGCACTCCAGCCTGGGTGACAAGAGCAAGACTCCATCTCAAAAACAAAACAAAAAAACAAATTCTGAGCATGGAGATAAGAAGCGTAAGCTTCTCTCCTACCAGAATTGTGCAAGGATTTGAGTTTGCCCAGATAACCTTCCTTTTGGGAGTGTTTTAAAATGTCAATGGGGAAAGAGACATATACCTAACTCATTGGCTAATCCAAGGTCACAAATGGATTTTAGGCAAAATAAATAAAGCAGCTTGATTTAGCTGAGCAATGAATTCTATGTCGTGCATATTTCTTCCTTAATTGAATGTAATTGGCTTTTTTGAAGCATCTCTGTGTGACCTTGGACATGTACTAATTCAAAACATTTTTTCCTAACTGTAAACTGGAAAAGCTAACAGGCTACGGAATTATTTATAATGAGGAAAGCACCCTGCGCAGTGTCTGGCTTGACGATAGGCACTCAGTGAATGATACTATCCTTTTCTTACTCTCTCCAAAGTCTTTCTTCTGGGCATCTTGGTATGCTTACCGATGCTTTCTGGGCACTGAGCAACAGGGAACTGGGTGAACCCCTCTAGCCTCTTGGTCATGCTCTCCTTCCCTGATGTCACAGGGCACTTGTGCAAATGAAAGTATCAAGTGTTTAGACATTTCCCAAGCTAGATATGGAGATGATCCTAACAGCAATCCTGGTTGCAGAAAGAATATATTATTTCAAAACATTAATGGTTTAATCCGGACAATGAATCTTTGTACAAATACCAGGACAATCAGGAGGCTTCTATTTCCTAGGATTTTTGTGAAGTCAAACACAAACATGGTGAAAATGTTTATGCATTTATGTACTTGTCATGCATAAATGATGCTTTGAAAGTCTAGAATGTGGTTTGTAAACTGTTACATGCTATATTCAAATGATAGGGTTATTTTTCACTGAGAAATCTGTTATAACCCCTCCCCTGCACACTCAGCATCTCTATTTGATGTTTGTGAGGCATCTGAAACCCAGCGTGTCCAAAGCAGAGCTCTCATTTCCCTCCCTCTCCCTTCCTTGCAATACCAATCCTCTTACCACCTCAAGTCTGCCCTTCCAGGGAACAGCACCCCCAATCCCTGTGCGGCCTACTCTTGTTCTTGCCCTCTCTTTCCATCGACAGGTCCTGTTGGTTCTGTCTTTAAGGTATATCCTGAATCCCATCACTTCTCCGGTGCATCTGTGCCAGCTTCATCACTTTTCGGAGGTCCCGGGCCCCTGGAAGAACCTGTTGAACTCAGTGGGTCCTTTTCACTTCTCTGCATCTCCATGGATGCCTCCCTGGTCCCAGCTACCTACACGCATCTGGACTTCTGGAATATTCTCTTAACTCCTCTGCTCTGTTCCTAAACTTGTTTCCTTCCATCCTGTTTTCCCAGAATGAGCATGTTAAAATGTAAATCTGATCGTATCATTCTGATGCTTAAAACCTTCCCTCATTTTTTCATGATACTGAGAATAAAACATAATCTCTTTATGAAACTACAAGACTGCACAATAGAGCCTTGCTAGCCTCCTGACCTCCTCTCCTACCATGCACTTCCTGTCCCTGCCTCCTCTTCCAGCCTCAGCCCCACCAGCTGCTTTTCCTCATGCACACCAGCTCATTCCTGCTGCAGGTCCTCTGTACTTACTCTGAAGAATTCCCCGCCTCCAGATCTTCTCCCGTCTCATGGCTTCACATCAGTCAAGATTCCAGGCGAATACCCCCTCTTTGCACGTGCCCCCCATGACTCCCTTCTGTAAAACAGCTGCCCCTGCCCCTGCCGTCAGTTTCCGTTCCCATTCTCTGCTTAATTTTCTTTTATGGCTTTGATCACAACCTGAAGTTATATTATTTATCGAGTTTTTGTACTTGTGTTTTTGTTTGTCTTTCCCACAAGACTATGTGTTCCACATGGTGGGGACTTTGTCTTATTTACCATTGTACCCCATTGCCTAGACCAGCGCCTGATACATGGCAGGTACTCAAAAGTGCGGAGTGCTCTATCCATGAAGGAGAGTGTCTCCAGCCTTGTCCCTATTCTCATTCTTGGCAGGGTGAAATCTGTCTCTGTACCAGCAGGATCTTTGTCCAGAAGAGCATCTACACTGAATTTTTAAAGAGATTTGTAGAAGCTACCAGAAAGTGGAAAGTCGGCATTCCCTCTGATCCATTGGCCAGCATGGGTGCTCTGATAAGTAAAGCACATTTGGAGAAAGTGAGTAAATTTCTGCCATGTAAGTTACAGAATAAGTTCTTATTTGAAGAGAAGCTCAGTATGAGCATTGCACACATCAGACTCTGAAATATTGTTAGTTACTACCCCATTTTTGGACACAGAGTCTAGACACTGTGGATAAGAATATGCAAATGCAGTCCCGGTGAAAGTGCATCCACATGAAATTAATGAACTTGAGAAGTCAGCGTGGAGATACCACCAGTAGAGAGGGGAAGCCAAATTTCAAAACAGAAAGGTCAGCTAATAAGGGTGATGTGGAAGAGTGCCAGTGATTTCCATAGGCAAGCATTCTCTTTGGAAGAGGTCTGCCTCTGGTTTATAGCCAGAAGTGCCAACACAAACAGTCCAAATTGTGTCGTCCTTAGTCAGTGGGGGACCGGGGTAGCCCATCTGGAAGAAACCACTGATAGTCTCTGAGTGATTGATGAAACTCAGATCTTTAGGGTCATTTTTTAAGAAAAGCAGATCTGGCCCTTGACTGCAATTTAGGGTTATTTTAATTTATAACCAGATGTGACTCCCAAAATAAGTCATACATTTTGGAGTCAGAAGGACTCTGCTTTCAGCTCAGGGCCACTGAGGGAAACTTGTCCCCATCAGCCAGCCAATGAGAGACAGAGCATTTGCGTAAGTTTGTAGAAATCCCTGACACTGCACAGTGCACTCCCACATTGACTATATTTAACTTTGACTTTCAGGACACTGCAACACAGTTGCTTGCAGATGGAAAGATGAAGTAGCTTGAAGGCCTGTCCTTATTTCTTCTGTTTTCTCAGTGAAATAGGCATCAGGGTGAGGAGGGGAAAAGGTGTGGAAGGTTTCAGGAGGAAGGAGAGGGTATGAAATCATCTCGCAGTAGGTCATGAGAACAGAACTGGAAAATGACCCAGTTATTAGCAGAGCAGCTCAAAGGGCTCACTTGAGGCGTGTAGTCATTTACTGAAAGTGAGGCTGACCAGCATGGCGTCTTTTTCTCCAGCGAAATTTACCTACAGGATTGTGGGTACATAGACAATGGTCCGCCGAATGTCCAGTGAGACCAATAGCTGTTGATGGTCCTGCACGGAGTGAAGATTTTCCAGGTGCAAGAGACTCCCCTGTTCTCTCTCATTCTGGCTCTTTTGGACACTAGGGCTCCCTGCCTGCCTGCCCACACCTGCAAATGACTGGTGAAAAACAATGTTAGTATGCCCCCGATCGCTTCCTGGGAAACAGGAAGGGGTGGAACAAAAGTTAACCTCCTAGAGTACCTTTCAGCAGGTTCAGGCAATACTGCAGGGTGAGGTTCCTGTGCAATTCACTCACTCAGAATTTCAAAGTTCTTTCTGTATCAACTCAACAGATACACTATTTTTTTCTATTTTAGTCGCTACCATAATAACTATTTTAGTTACCCAGTGAGAGAATATATATTAGGGAAACAAATAGAAGTAGCAACTTTTTGTATCAGTTGAATGATCTCTCTCTCTCTGTCTCTCTCTCTCTCTGTGTGTGTGTAAGAGAGAGAAATCGATGCCACGCTTTGACTCATATTGGTAGCTATGGCTTTTCTCTGTGACACTCTAAATAATTTGTCTTCAATATGTTGTAATTCCTGTGGACTTTCATACAATATTTTTGATGCCCAGTATGTTCCTCCTTGGCCACAGGAGGTTTCTTATTATTTTTTTTTTAACACGTACTAAGCTGAAATGAGCCACTATTGGAGAATTAAATATTTAATATTGTGATGACTTAAGACACTAATGAGTTCTAGTAATTGGCATAGATTGCAGATTCTATGTGTTTATGAAATGCAACACTAAATAGGCCACATGCCCTCACCTTTAAAACCACTCCAGGAGCCCCCTCTTTAACCTGCTTTCTTGTCCTTCTGAGCCCACCGGAGGCCCACCTGTAGGCATCTCTGTCCTGTGACAACAGGAGGCCTCAGGTGGTCTCAATTGCTCTGCTACACATGGACAACAAGACCTCTCTCTACTGAGCCTTGGTTCCTTTCAGTGGAGAATGGTGATCAAGGCCAGCGTTTGAGCTTAAGGGTGACCATTAGGGGATTTCCTATGACATAACAAGTAGCTTAATGACATCCAAGAAGAGGTCAAGAAGAGGTGGCTTAAAACCTTGTGATGCTTCACACACACTGCCCTTTTTTTATTTTTTATTTTTGTTTATTTATTGTTTTGAGATGGAGTCTCACTCTGTCACCTAGGCTGGAGTGCAATGGCACGATCTTGGCTCACTGCAACCTCCACCTCCTGGGTTCAAACAATTCTCCTGCCTCAGCCTCCCAAGTAGCTGGGACTCCAGGTGTGTGCCACCACGCCCAGCTAATATTTGTATTTTTAGTTGAGACAGGGTTTCACCATGTTGGCCAGGCTGATCTTGATCTCCTGACTTCAGGTGATCTGCCCACCTTGGCCTCCCAAAGTGCTGGGATTAAAGGTGTGAGCCACTACGCCTGGCCACACTGCCTTTTTTAAGAAGGGTCCTGGCTGGGTGCATTGGCTTATACCTGTAATCCCAGCAGTTTGGAAGGCTGAGGCGGGTGGATCATTTGAGGTGAGGAGTTCAAGACCAGCCTGACCAACATGGTGAAACCCTGTCTCTACTAAAAACACAAAAATTAGCCAGGCAGTGGTGGTGCACACCTATAATCCCAGCTATTTGGGAGGCAGAGGCAGGAGAATCACTTGAGCCTGGAAAGTGGAGGCTGCAGATTCCGCTACTGCCCTCCAGTCTGGGCCACAGAATGAGACCCTGTCTCAAACCGCAACAGCGACAACAGCAACAACAGAAGGCTCCTGAGCCCATGCTGACATTTCTAATGTAGCGAAATTACCTTTTAAACCTTGCTCTAATATCGTAGTAATTTCATCACCGGTGATGATGTGTCATGCCGTGTATGGTCATACCCCATGTTACTCACAGTCAATGCCTAAGTCTTTAGAATAACCTAAGAAACTGGCTACAATCTTTCCCATTACCTCTGTGACCCTTCCCTTTCCTCATTCCACTCCTGCATACTGGCCTCCCTGTTCTTCCTGAGGAATACCAGGCACCCTCCTCCTTCTTGGAGGTTGCTCTTGTTGCTCATGCTGCCTGGAATGCTCTTCCTTCTGATGTATGCATGGCTCTCTCCTTCCCCTTCTTAGAGTAGATGTCACCTGAATGATGGCTTTCCTGCCTACCCTATACACAGTGGTACCTTGTAAAACTTTGGCTTCTTTGGAGCTTTATTTTTCTCCATGGTTCTTACTGTCATCTGACATGCAATATATATGTCTTACCCCTTTACTGACTATCTTCTCTGGACTAGAATGTCAGCTTCTTGGTCTATTTCATTCATTGCTGTATCTTTAGACTCTAGAAGGCTCCTGGAACATAGTAGGTGCATAGTATTTGTTGGGCGAATGACTGAATTAACACCACATGATGTGTTCCAGTTACAGTATATCCCCCAAATTTAAGGTATCCATTTTCTTTGAATTTTTTTTTTTTTTTTTTGATCCTTAGATTAAACTACCTGGAATTCGGTCCAAAATGCACGGGTCCTGGCCATCTCTGGCCAGCATGACTCAGCATCAAGACTCTGAAAGGAAAAACAAAATAAATACAAAAACTAGAACCCAGCCTTTCTCCAAGAAAATGCTTGAACCATCCGAGCCTGGAGCCTCTAGTATCACTGATCACTAAATCATAGCAATGATAAAGGGGCTATATAGACACATACATGCGTTTGAGGTTTGGCTTGAAATTCCTCTTTAACTGCTCACCATTGGTACAAGTATTGGTGATTCCAGTTTAGGTCACAAGTAGTTTTGGTATCTAACTCTAGTTTTCTGAAAACATTTGGTTAAATATGGATCTTTAATACCTCAAGAGTATACAAATCTAACTTTTTAAATGCCAATTTAGGAATATAAAAATTACATCTAGATTATTATCAAAAATAATTTCAGATTTCTATAGCATTACTACAAATATACAGGTGAAAAAATTTCTGCAGGTTCATATTTCTCCACTGTCCTTGTGTTTCTCAAGAATCAACTTATTAAAAAGGTACCAAAATATTTCTATTATAACACATTTTAGTTATAGACACCATTCACATTTGGAATGCCTCCCAAATTCTTAAACTTTAGCTTTGTGTTTTGGTGATTCCTACTTTTCATCACCCATAAAATAAACACAGAATTTAGCAAGTTTAGGTGTCAGAATACTTCAGCATAAAATATCCATATTTTTCCCTAGAGTAAAATATATACCCTGAACATTGTGTCTATGAGTGACTCCACAGAGAAGACCTAGATTACCTTTTCTTCAGTAGGTTTGTGGTTAGAATCTTTCAACCTAAAATAACAACATAGAGAAGGACTCTCTAGAGAAAATAAAAGCGACTTTCTTTGGGAATTAATGCCAGAAGATTATGAACTGGGATATGCGTGTTGTGATGGATTCTGGGCATAGCCAGGGAGGTAAAGGAAGACGAGGGTTTTTAAAGGGCAAATGAGGAAGGTGACAGAATGTTGTTTTGAAACAATTATCGTTGGCTACGAGGATCAATAATAAGGGTGATTTATTATTAAATGGGAGTACCAGTCCAAGGCTGAACGGACAATTTTTGGGGCAAGGTTGCGGTGGCCTTTGTGCAAGGTTGTGGTTTTGGTAGAGTCTCTTGTGATAGTTTTTGTTATCAGGCAAATATGTGTGAGGACTCTGTCCGTGGCAGATGGTAGCAGAGGACTCAGTTTGCAAGTTCATGTCCCAGAAGCACAGGCATACATGTGGGAGGGACACCCTACTCTGAGTTTCTGAAGATGTGTCGCTCTCTGGCCGGCCCTCCTGCCTCAGCCCAGCTCTCTATTTGGATTTTGTCAAGCAAGTTCTTAACTGAATCCAGACTAAGACATGCAGGGAGAGCTTGGTTTCCCTAGGGCTCACCTTGTTCTGGCCAGCTCCAAGCTGTGCATGCAGGGAAT